CTCAGGTCAAGTAAAAGAATGATGACTAAAAATGCATTTTCCTAGTTACTTTTCTCTCTAAAAGATATTTCAGAATTAGCAAATCTGTTTTGCTAATCTGTCTTTCTGGACCCCTTTTCAGCCCTTAAAATCAGTCTATTAGCCCTCCAATACTCTAGAAAAATATCACTTCAGGTTCCCATATTTCCTGGAGTTTGATCAGAAATCTTGAAAGCAGATTGCTTGACATCTTGCAGAAGAGTGCCTGAGGTCCTCTGGCTAATTCCCTTCTTCCAGGAAGTTTTTTCCCTCCATTGCATCTTGCTGCCACGGATACAAGAAGTTTTTCCTTTGGCTATACTGAAGGAGGATTGGGTCCCCTTGGGTTTGGTCATTTATTTACAGAAGGTGCTTTTTGACTATCAGATAGCCCTGAATCCCAAAAGGGACCACTAATATAGCTAAGAAATCGGAGTACAACAGCTGAAAGGGATAGGAGGCTAAGAAAAATACTGTATCTAGAGAAAGCTGGCTAAAGACCATCTTTTTATAGACTTGTGTGTAGTTTTATCAGTGTGTCCTTCAACGCCACACTAGAAGAAACAAATCCTTGTCTCTAAAGTTGTCCTTGAAAGTGACAGATGAATATTCAGTCATTGCAGTTAAATTAATCAAAATCAGTATTAGCCAATTTCATGCATTTTCAAGTGCAGTGGGTTTACACCAGTTTCCATGGAATGTTATGAGTATAGAACTTTTTCTGGATACAGTGGTGCAAATGGAAGAAATTACACTCCAAGCCCCTTCTCACTTTCCTGTCAATACAAGCCTGCACTCCAACTCTTTTAGTGAGGTTAGTGGACGATGTTAGCAACCTCTCAGATCTGTGAGAGGACCTACTTGAGTGGCCTCTCTCTGACTCGCTCATGTCAAAATCAATTATTCACCTCTAGTAGAGGGGCTGTGATGGGCATTTATGTCCAAACCATAAATAGGCAATACACCCTTCCCAGACAGAACTTTTTAAAAAATCTACATTTGTTTACACCATCCAGCAAATTAAAAGTTGGTTACACTTCCAGCTAGGTATTTTGCAATATACAGATGGAGTAATGAAGCAGAACTGAAAGTTCAGTCAGATGAAAGACAAGACTTCTGCAAGAACACCTTCCAGGCAGTAAAAATTGAAAGGCATTTCTAATTAGACAGAAGCCTTTCCAGCTCACAGAATGCTTGGTTCCTACCAAGGTTAATCCTTTGTTGTTATTGTTGTTGTTGTGTTCATACAGAAACTTTTTTGCCAAAGTCTTAATTTCCAGTTGTTCTTCAGGGTGCCCAAATGGGGCAAATCTGTTCTCGTTTCATGTCTTTAAAAGTAGACCAGAAACAAACTTGACTCCATATTTTCAAAACCTAAGTGTGATTTCTCCTTCCTCATCATCTTGTTCCCTGATGTGTCCTATGATCTCCTTTATCTGAGTTTTTCACCATCATCCAGATAGTGGATTAAGACTTTCATGCCATGAAACTGATTCTACAGCTGAACCGACTCTGCAGTAAATTCCCTCTGAGAAGCGTGCATGAAAAGTTTAGTTAGGAATCCAGATGATCCATTCCTCTTTAGGATATTTAATGCACATGACTGTGTTTGATAAGGGAAGGTCAGTTTTCCTACAAAAGTAATAGTTTTTAGCTCTTTTGTTGTCTTTATACAGTAAACAAAATAGCAAAAGTAAAGATGAAGATTGACAAAAGTCAAGTTGCTCTTTTACTTTTTGCTAAATATGCCTGCCAAATCTAATGAAGCCAAATTGCACATGAAGTGACCCTGGCATATGAAATTACTAATGCACAATTATTATTAAGTGTCAAGTTCAGATGCAAAGCTGTAGTTCATTAACTTTTATGATAAATTAAATTTCCTTCATTGATTCTAGCTTTCAATAGATAAAAGTTTGCACAAATGATAAAATGAAACGTACCAAAATTGAATAATATAATTTAGAAAGAAATGTGATAAATAGGTGGATGTTGGTGGGAAAATGGAGGGTTATCCTCACCTCAATGTACCTTTCATATCTATGCAAGAAGAGTAGGGGAAAATCTTTTGATTTGAGAGAGTCCATATAATAAAAAACTGTGTTACAAAGATTAGAATGGAGAGGACATTTTAGGCTCATTTGGATGGCACTACCTTCTTCCATAGAAATCAGCAGAATTCACCTTTGATCTCAAAGCACAAATTGGCACTAGAAGCCCTTCGCTACTTTTTCCAGTCACAAAAACATTAACCTCTATATTCTAGGTAAACTCCAAAGTGGGTGATTACATTCTGCTGCTCTAATTTTTCCATGCAGGCTCAACCAGATCCAGCATCATTTCCTGATATGCAGTGTTACTGCAAAAGAAGTCCGTTTTTGCAAGGTTGCTGTTAACTTTTTCCTTCTTGCCTCCTAATTTGTCTGCTTTGTCTTATCACTTGTATCTTGTTTAAAGGTCAGAATTGTTTGGTTCTGGATCACAGCTTTTATTAAATTGAGGGACCATGAATATGGGCAGTGCTATAATGATAACAATGTCCTTCCATCACTTTTAGTGTTGTATAATTTACATAGCATAGCCTGGCTATAAAAGGAAATGAGATGTATTTTTTTCCCCAAGCATTCACACAGTTACATTTTTGTCAAATATCACATCATGTTGGTCTTCAAAATCAGAAGTTAAAAATACAGCCTAAAACTACAGGACATTCTGAGTGTGTTTAAAAACCAATTAGCAATTTGCTTGTAAAATAGCACATTGCTTAATTATACATTACTTTAAAGCAATAATTTATTACACTTTAAAGAGATTATGATTTCCATGGCCATACAGTCTAACACTTTTTGCAAGAAGTTTGCACATCATTGATAGCAGAATTCATTTAATTCAAATTTAGTATTGATCTGAGACATTACTTTTACTCTTAGAAAAAAGGATTCACTACAAAAGTTAAGCATCTCTGATGGGACTGCTGATTTCACTTCGGTTCTATGGAGTTGTAACACCTGCACTTTAGTTGCTTATTGACTAACTTAAGCTAGTTAGAAATATCAGCACTGAAATAAAACTGGTTAAAGCACTTTCTATCTAAAATGGGGGATGTAGTGCTCCTTCCCCCATCACAGTCTCAAATAAAACTGCACTAAGTACAATCTGGTGGATTACCTATATGGAGAACCCACAAAGATTTTAGCTCTGGGAAGGTGAATTGATTGCTTAGTCCCAGTACCATAGGGTTAAGTGAAATGCTATCACAGTAATTTATTATTAAGAGAAATGGTGATGGCTTAGACTAAGAAGATTTGTCTGTCTCTTCTAATTAAGGTTAGGTTTGTAAGAAGATTTACTGCCCTTTGAAGATGCAGAGACTAAAATTAGGACTCTGGTTGTGTTTAAAATGTCACTAGGTTGGTTTATAATCCTGTAGTGATTGCAACAAGGGATCATTCTTCCTATGTTGTGATTCCTTGTTTGGAAGCTAGTGAGCCAGGACAAGACCCCATGAAGCAAAGTCTGAGTAGTCTGTTAATCAGCAACAAGTTGGTCCTGCAGAACACTGTAATGCTCTTGCAGTGACCCCTTGAAGACTCCATAACGAATGGGAAGCTGGCAAAGCAATCAGCTGTAAGACACAGTGAATTCCATTGCAGGCAGAGAGCAAACAGTAGCAGTAAGTGGACTGTGTACAGAGAGTGAAGAAATTGTTAGGAGGGAAGATGAGTTTTCAGGCTGTAAGTGAACTCAATTTACAGTGGTGTTTATAGTCTTGTATGAGACAATAGCATCCCAGGCTATAGTGTCCTCACTTGCTGGTCTACAGACATTGTCAAAACCTCAAATAAGTGGATCACTTCTAACTTTTCTCATTATGCCCCTATTAACACAGCCTAAAAGGAACCTGTGGAGCTCTCTGTTACAGGAGAGTAACAGCAAAAGCTGTTAAAAATTTTTTTGAAATTTTAAGCTTGTACAGACCTAGAACAGTTCTGCCTAAATTAGTAATTTATAAAAATGTAAAACTGGTTAAATGGAAAGATCAGACCCGTTGATGAAGAACAAAACCTTCTTTGACAATATTTAGCATGAAAAAACATTTGAAGGAAAAGCAGCCTTGATACTTCAAGTCACAAGTCAGTTTGTAGTTGGCTGGGATTAGGAAAATACTTTTCCAGTAGGTAACACATGAAATTATGATTCACTACAGAATCCCTTTGTCTAAATGATCTGATGCTGTGTTGCAACTAAGACAAAATAGGGAGACTGTGTGGACCCACATTCTTTTTCAATACACCAGGTCTTATGTACCCATCAGACAGGACAGTGTGCTGGGAGCCACTAAAATGCTATTTGGCAGCCCAAAGGGAGAACCATCTTTTAATTTGGTTTAGTGAAATAAAGCAAGTTTATATGTATATTGGAATGGATGAACTGCAAGTATTGAGTCTCAGATATCTGAACAAGAAAATCTATCATCAGTGAATTCAGTAAGAGCTGAAGCTCTTACTGATCAATCTGCTGAGCAATGAATGAAACTCAGTTGTTCTGTTGGACTGTTTATAAATCTTTTATGTTACAGTGCATCTTTTGCTTTGCCATTCTTTTTTTCCTAGATTAACTCTGTCACATTTTTACAGAAAAGAGCATCCAATTAAGCAGCAAAATCAATCCCCTGCCATTCAAATAACTACTCACAAAGTCTGAACAGCACATATTCATGAAGGATCTCTTGAGTAAAAGCTATTTGCTCCACAGAATCTTGTGTTTGGTTTCAAATGATGAATAAAAGGGCTCAAAAAGATTACATGAAATCACTTAGTCCAGTCTCTTTTATTTACTCTTACTCAGATTAAGACAGGGATCAGCAATATCTACCTTTTCTGAACAAAAAAGCAGGATGTTTTACAATGTATTTCTTCCTGTGAGAGAAGGGTACAGTTATAATCAGTATGGCTTGTCTTGAGCAATTCAGTCTTTTTTAGTGTGTCCAAAATCTGGTATTTACTGCAGCAGGCATGAGCAGTTCCTGTGTAACATTGGCCGAGGTCCTGTGGGCAAAAGGAAGCCCTTTGGAGGAAGAAGAAATATGGGCACTTCTGTACCTGTCCACAATACAGCTTCTGGAGGATCTTCACAAAGGTGAGGTGAAAAGTATCTTTTCATAGTTCTTACCATTGGAAATTAATTATTGAGTTATTTTACTTCTGTTGCATTTGTCTGTTTGTTTTTAAGACAAAAAGCACTAACGGCAATGACAGCATGCTGCTAATAATGTTGCCTAAAGATCAGGGAGAAAAAAAACTCACCAGGCAAATTTAGTATAGGTAAGATACAGAGCAGGTCTTTAATGAAGACCTTCTGGTGCAAGGAGTACAAAGGCATGCACCTGTGTCTAGGGGTTCCACAGGTTATGGTCTGATCCAAGAAGTATCCACCCCCAGATCCTCCACAGATCTGCCTCCCAGCACACCTCCCCAGAAACTGAGTCTTTTAGTGCTGCTGTTTTTAGAGAGCTGAAGTCCAGAAGTGATGCCAAGCTGGAGACATTTTGAAGCTGAATGCCCAGTCCTCCAGTTTCTTGCAGAGCAGGGGAGGTCACCTGCCTCTGCATAGCATCATCCCAGCTGACTAAGGCATATCTGTGGCTCCACATCACTTAATTACAATTATATTGCTTTTGGAATCAGATTCTTCTCAGGGCTAGTACTGCCACGTTTGCTTCACTGTGCTTGATGTAATAAATCCTGCTAGACCTTGTGATGGTAAACACCACTTGCTAATAGCAATATTTCCAGTGTGCTTGGGCACCGATGGGTTAGGCAGGAATGCTCAGACATTGGCTGGCCAACACGACAGAAGGCCAGGTGTTCTTCATGGAGGCTGAAGTATAAGCTGACTGCCTATTTCTAAAACAGACAAGCTTCCTAGCATGTGCTACTTGTACTTGTTTACTTTAACTACAGAAAATGAGGAAGGAGCAAAAGAGAAGGCTAGCTGATGATTTTAAGACTTTTAATTTTCTAAAGAAATAAATGCCTCAATTGTTGCAAATACCAGTGGTCTGTCCCTAAGTCTTGAATCTTTGGGTCCTCTGGCTATACAAATCTTCTAGGTGTGTATGAATTCCCAGCTTAACATTTTACCTATCTTTACTATCCATTTTCCTGTTGTTAAGGTCACCATGCATAAGAACTAAGTAGACCTTTTTTTATATACAGTTCTTAAATGCTAAAATACTAAAGCATCTAGGGCACATTTCTGAGCACTTCTCCAGCAAAGATCCGAATGGTCTCTCTTCTCACATTCTAGACTGAAGAGTGGTTTAACAGCCAACTTTTTATTTTTGAATTACCTATATTTCCTGAAACACAGTGACTAAATATTGCCATAGTTAATGCAGCTTTTCCTCTTTCTGGAGTAAACATATTGATCTTAGATGTTGTTTATCATTGTTTTTTAATGAGTATTTTAATGAAATCACTTGGATGTCTTTGGTCAAATTCATTTACTGCATGTATGCAAGTTCAGTGTTTACAGCAGGCTACACATCCTCATGCTGCCATTCCTGCTTCACACCACTGGGACCAACCTCAGTGGATCTCTGCAGTGATATTTTTTTAAGAGTATTTAGACATTTGCAAGTAGAATCCAGTCCATTTCTGAGCTACCTTCAAACAGATTTTTTTCAAGGAAGAGAGAGGGCAAGATGTTTCTTAGGAAGGAGCCCAGACTCAAGGACCCACAAGGGTGTCAGCAGGGGCTGTGCCAGCCAGGGCTCTATCCCACAGTATCCAAAGAAGATGACCAGAGTAGGTCTGGGGTTGATAACTGAGAATCCAACCACCACACAAGTTTGTAGTAACAAGGCAGGTCAGAGGTCAAGCTGGGAAACTGAGTCAGGATCAGGTGTGGTGTGGACAACCAGGGTCAGACAGCCCAGCGATCAGCAGGCAAGGCCACAGTGACAAGGCAAGTCTGAGGTCAGGCTGGGAAGTCAGGCAAGGCATTTTGGGTACATCTTCAGGAAACATCAGTGATTAGTTTGGCTATACAGGTGAGATGCCAGAAATATGATTTTCTGAGTGCAGTGAATTCAATACTAAGGTCTCCCTTACCTACCTCAATATTTTTCAGACCCTGCCATCTGTGTGATTTGCCCATGGTCAGTACTACTGTCTGCTGAAGGAAATTTGTCCTTCCAAAACAATGCATCTCAGACAGAAGCTCTGCCTTTCAGTCCACCAGAACTGCTCCACAGGCAAAGTAAAAACCAGCGCTTTGGACTAACAAAGGTGAGGTATATTACAAAGTAAATCTTGACGGTACCTCTTGAAGACAAGCCTGTGAGTTTTAATGTAGCATACCAGGTACCTGCTGCCCCACTCCATTTTAATATGACTAATCAAATTAGACTACAGTTAGAAAGATTTACATGTGTCTTGCCATTGCACTAGCATGCATGTCAACATCAAAATCAATTTTGAACATCAGTCCTCAAGATCTGCGGAAATGTATTATTTGCAAAGGCCCACAGAAAGGAAGAATATTTCTATGAACACTGTTTCACCAGATATGGTAATTGCAATCCCAGAGGCAGTAGGATTGCAGTATCTATACAATCAGAGAGTGGAAGCACTTCCAGGAAGTCAGAAATACATTCAGCTTTGTGGACAATTTATTTTTCTTCTCTCTGACAAATGAGTCTCTCTGGCAAGACAGTAAGATACAACACTCAGGTACCTAAAAGTCTTAAATACCACTCAGATTACATCAGTGCATACTTCCCTCAGGCAGAACAAAGTATTTTCAGGTTCCCACATAACTGATCATTTAGAGACCAGGCAAAAACATGATGCTGTGGAATAGGCAGCCCTTAGTCCAGTAATTCTTTTCCTGGATGTGAGTACTAGTCAGTCCCACAGGTAGGGGAGATCTTTAATTGGCAGTGGGAGAACTTCAAAATTAAGAAAGGAGTTCAAATTTCTTTCCCTACTTAAGACATAACTGAGTAGAGAGCAACCTGCCTCAGTCCCTCAGGCTGGACATTACTAGCTGCATGCTACAAGATCAGCTATTGTACTTTCAGATAAGTTTAGTCTAGTTTAAAAAAAAAATTATCTGTTTGACTTGTACCATTTTGTGACCAAAGCCACAAAAAGATGGTATCTCTCATATGAGGCTTTTCCGTACTTAATAATGACTTCACACAGGGTTTTCTTTCCTGTTTTGACAGATGTTGGTGTATTCTTTAGGAATGACCCTCTACTGGTCAGCAGATTACCAGGTTCCTCCAAACCAGGCCAGTAACACAAACTGTTGTTTTCTTTTATTCTGGTAGGTTCAAAGATTGAGAGGCATAATCTGAGGTCTTGGTAAGAGGGGCTTTATGTTTGGGATCACTAGAAAGAATTGGAAAGCTTGTGTCAAGATTCATTCTGCACCAAAAATACCAATTCACCCAAATCAGGAAATTTAGTTGGACCTCATCTTTACTTTCCTTTTTTTTTCCCTTTTTCTTCAAAAACCAGAATTGTTCTCATTAAGATGAATTATACCTCAGTTTCAAGAGTGAAGATTATTTATTCCAAGACAATAAGGAACAAGCTACCCAGGGAAGTTGCTGAGTCACCATCCCTGGATGTATCTAAAAGATGTGTAGATGTGGCACTTGGGGACATGATTTAGTGGTCGATTTTCCAGTGCTGGGTTTATGATTGATTCAATATTAAAGGTATTTTCCAACCTAAGTTATTCTATGATTCTATTATTCTAAGATTGGAAGGGCTAAAAGAAAAATATCACATTGGCATGATTGAAGTGCTGTGCACATTTATGTGCTTTTTCAAAAATAGGATGCAAGATTAAAACTAAGTAACTGTCTTTATTTCTGAGCAAATTCTACTAGTATCTCTACTAGCTGAAATTATGAATTTCTTGCTTACTGGGAATCCTTTCTAAGACTTGTAGCACACATTTTGCTTCATTTCTATATTGATGCTTTTGGGTGCTTGTTCTTGATTTGAAAAGCACAAGCTTTTAGTAGATTTAACCTCCTTTTCACGTGTATACATGTTCTAAGAGAAAAGGCTTTATAAGCTAAATGGCCCTAAAATTTAAGTATCTGGTCTCTATGGCAACCGTTTTGGTGGGTATAAGTCCTCACCTTTTTGAAGCTAACGCTACCACATATCTTACTTGCAAGGATCTTTGATTCATAGTCTAATTAGCAGAGCTCTGGAGCAAACTGAACTGTTGTCTGTCACCAAGAAGTGCCTAATTGGGCTGATGACTTCTTAGAGATGCCAATTCCCTCCAAGGCTATCCTGGATCCCATTAGAGGCTTCATTTAGTGCTGTTTGGCTGCTTGTCTGGAATGTTCCCAAAGTCTAAAGGAATTCAGTGCCCATTTCTCACTCAGGGTGAAAGGCTTACAGAAATTCCTGGTCCCAGTTTACACAGGATTTCAATCCCCTGGGAGATGTTATTTAACACTACTTCTATTTTGGCTCAGTCCCTCCAGCTGAGTGACCAACTACACACACTCCTTCTAACACTTTGTGAAGATCTGCCACATAAAAGATTTTCTCCTGAATCAATCCTGGAAGCATGTGAGGCACATCAGAAGGAATCTGCTTCCTTACCAGCAAATGTCTATGTAAAGAAAATGGTCCAGTTTGCACTGGGAAGTGTCAGTGAGGTAGGTACTACTCTCATACTCTAATCATTTCCATTTCTCTGGTGAGAGAGGTGACAGCAACATGGGATATAGGTAAACAATTGGCTGAAATTAATGTTTGTATGGATTAAGGAAGTGAGATTTGTTTCAAAACTTCTAAACAGGAAATTGAGTCGACATGTGTACAAGCAAATGAAGCAATGAAGCTGTCTCAGACATCACTTGTACACTCCAGGGAAGTGATACAAATCCAGCTTTTGCACTTACAGTATCTTAATTTCTTTGGTTAATACTGAAGCAACCATAACCTTTACAGGGACTTCATATTGGCCAAAGGAATGGACTATAGACAAAAGATTTCTCCATTGCCACTCTGGTTTCAGACTTTGTGAAATTCAAAGAAATCACATTTACATCATATTGAGAAATTAATTCATTGTCCTTGAGTGGAACTGAACATTTGCCGTGCAATCAAGCCTGACCACATGAGGTCTTTAGTATGTGAACACCTGAGTCTTTTTCAAAATTTGAAATATCAAAAAACATTTTTATTGACAAACTTCAAGACAATGGAAGAAAACACACCACAATTTTTTTTCTGTTTTCAACCAGTAGTCATTAACATTCTGAGATGACTTTTCCACTTGCACTCTTTACTACTCTATTTACTACTGTTACAGAGGGTGTCCCCTCTTAAACTCAGCTGGCATGAGAGCATGGAGCCAACAATACTCAGTCCAGCTTTGTGTTAATCTGAGATGAAGTTGTTTATACAAAGCAAATCAGCAGCCTCTGACAGCCAGAGGGCAAGGATCGCTTCAGTATGAGAGTCTAAAGTCCACATATCAAATGGCATTGACTTGCAAGATTACTGTCTTCTAGATAGAGCAGGTGGTCACCGAAGACAGCACAGCCTCCCAGCTGAACAGGAGTCATGTGATAAGGAAAAGGCTGCACGAGAAAATACCGGACACCTCACCACTGTCCTCCCAGATGAATTTTCACCAAGGTAAAGAAAGATTTATAAGCTGAACTTTCTAATAAGGATACAGCCAGCCCTTTCTGAGTCTTTCCCAAGCTAGATGAATTGTTTAATTTCATGCTGTAGTGATTACATGTAGTGTTGGATAGGATAGTTATTGCTTTACATATAAATTACTTCATGATGGAAAGACTCTGAGGCAAGTCAGCGAGGTTTCTTTTCCTTGTTCCACAAAGGACAGTACTCTCAGGGCTGCAAAGCAATGATAACGAATCAGCTTGCACAGATTCGACTCTCAAAGCTCTTTGCATAAAACCTGTGCATATAAAACACCTCTACTTTGAAAACAGTTTTTGTGTTTTGTACACTCCAATGGATTCTGTGAGGTTATCCTGTTGCCATTAAGGAATATATAGTCATCCTTCCTACTTGATTATTCATGCAAAGATTTGTGGTTTCTTTTTGATTTAATTTTTCTATTCAAAAGATGTTTTATAAATTCACACATGAATTGCTGGATTGATTTCAAGATGCAAGGCCAAATCCTGGTCACTATACAAATAAAGCAGTATATACCAACTTTGCATTTCATTTGACTAAGATCAAGATTTTATTATCTCTCAGAGTAATTATCTAACTCTATCGTTTTTCTCGTCTCTATATTGTACTGTTCACTTCAGCAGAGATCTGTGACCCTGGAGCAAGGGAAATGTTGGCCCAAGCTATGCAGGCTTGTTTTGGATATGCTCAACATTAGGTATATGAGCAGTCCAATTCCTATTCAGCAAATCACATATATGTTCCATTAAATCAGTTAGAAATCAAACACATGCTTAAATACATGTGGAACATTTCTATGAGGTATTATGGGTTATAAGAAAAGGAGATTCTTTTCAAAACATACAGACAAACCATCCCTCAAAACATATTGACTCACTTACTCAGAAACTGAGCTTACAGTTTCACAGTTGCATAAGCTGGTGGAAATTCTGCTGCTCCCTCTATTAGCCCCAAATTCCTGCCATTTTCCTTACACTCATTCTAGTGATTATGTAACTGGTGTGATCTCTGTGTTTTCCAGGAATTTGGGTCACTTGGCTTACACTTGCTGAAGGACTTCAATGAATTAGGATGTTGATTACATTGAAAATGTGTGAGCCATACTTTACAAGGCAGCCTTCCATTTCTTTCCTTTTTTTTTTTTAATTAAAAATTATCACACTCAGAGATTCTGTAAAAGGATAAGAGACAATGCAACCAAAGAAAAGTCAGTATGCAAGAGAAATATGTACATCCTTATGACTTAGGATGACTCCTTAATGGAATTTCTGCATCTTACTCTGGTAGGGGATTGTGTCTAGGCATTGTCCACCCTGCACACAGAAAGAATACTTTATAGCAGAAGGTTTTGGGCCTCATAGTATAAGGAATGAGAACTTTGCAGGTTATCTGCACTTTGTAACCTTTCAGTTAAACACGTAGCCTAGAATTAATGTATTAGATTTGTTTTATTTGGAATGGTTGAGGAGAACTATGAAAACTAGTTTTGGTCAGAATATGATTATGAAAATAATAGAAGTCATCAAGCTTTCCCCAGTTCTTAAGGAACTGGAGTCAGTGTTAGAAGACAGACAGATGTGGACTATATAAAAATTAGTTAAGCCAAACATTATTTACATTACCATGCAAATAGAATGATTTATAACTGAGTATGTGAATTACCGTATTCCTTTTCTGTTTCCAGATAAAGGGTCCAGATTAATGAATTATAGTCAGTCAACAGAAGATTACAGACAACTCTCTGCAGACTATAGTGACTCAAATAGTATTTCTGAAAGTGCATCTTTGATACTGTCTAACCGAGGACACAGGAGAGGTAAGATTTTTATGAAAGATTATGTTTATGAATTATGTATTGATCTTTTTTGTCCTTTGCTTGTATATGTGGCACTACCCACGTGTAGGTGTACCAGGTGATAGGTATTCCCGTGCAACTTGTGGTTATGTAACTTGGGAAGTATATTTGTGCTAAGTCGCAGAGAAGAAAGATACTTAGATTAGTTTCTTTTTCACTTGTGTCCTAATGTGAAGCTATATATTCCCTGGTTACCATGCAGCACCATCACCTCTTTCTTGCTTTATGCCCCCTTTTTGAGGTGAAGCTGTTCAGCAGATCACAAAGCCTGAGAGTATGTTTATAGCACATGGGGTCTTGCTACAGATGAGAAATGGTGGAGCTACCCCACAAACGCATATGATGGGCAGTGTCAAGATGGCAGCACTGAAATCAGTTGAATATATAAGTAATACCTAAGTCTTGAAGGGTGGAGATTAATGTTTCTTCAAACCCTTTAAAAAATAAAGGGACTGATTCTGAAATCTGAGGGAAAAAACAAAAAACCCTTTGTTTTCTTTTCATTTTTGTCCTAGGACCATTTTATATTTCCTGCTAAGCGTGTTGGTTTTGTTGTACTAAATGCCAGGTCATTCTTCTGATTTACTTTGTCTGGAGATATCAGAGTTGGAGTTTTATCTTCACTTTCAATCCTTTTGTGGCAGGAACAGCATGAAAGAAACTGTTTAGGAGAGAATTCATTCAGTGAAGACACTGTGTTAGACATCATTCAAGTTCCTTCCCAAGGCACGTAAATCACAGTGTAGGGGGATGCTATGAAGCAAAGAAGGGAATTTAGCAGGAAGAGGAGCACTGCTGTGCATGTTTATCTTTATGTATAAATTAGAATCTGAGCTAGGATCACCTAGACAAGGTGTTCATACTTCCCAAGAGCAAAGAGTTGCTGTTGCTCCAAGAATGAGGAAAGTGAGGTTAGTTGTGCAACTGCTGTTAATGCTCTTCTCCTGAAAGACACTTTTCGGAAGCTCCAGAATTGCAGTCAATATCAGCAGCAATAAAAACCTGAGACTGCAGCTTCTCACTGTGTGACTCATATGTGTCAGTCACATACTTAACTGCACACAGTGAAGGTAAACTTACTGTTTTGTAAGCCCTTTCAAAAAAAAAGATTTGGTCATAAACTGGACAAAGGCTCATCCCAGTGACTTTGCGTATGTCTCAGTCTCCACTGAAACACTGGTAGCTGTTCATACTCAAGATTTTGTAATGCAGGACTCTAAAAATACATGAGTCAACACGGAATGTGAGAACTTGTTTGCCACAGACATTCTTTCATGAGATAATATATTAAGAAAATGCATTTTTCTCTGAAAAGAACTGCTACCATTTAGTAGAGCACCATTATCAAGGGAGATCAGTACCTTTATCAAGACTGTACTTTTAAAGATATAATCAAATAATAATCTACAGGATTGACTACTTTGAGGACCACATGTTAATTTAACATCAGAAATGTGTTAAATCTGTGATCAAAGCATGGCAATCTGGCCACTGAAATTAGCCAAGTTGTCCCACTGTCATAACAGCCAATACAGAAAAACTAAGGGGAATTTTATGTCCTTGTCAAAGTATTTTTGTACAATTATGTGAAAAGCACAGTGTAAGCAGAGAATTTTGCAAGGTTTTCTCATTAAAAAGCATGTCGTTTTAGAACATGGGAATGAATCTTAACTTTGGTAACTAGTTTATCTCAAATCTCACATTTTGTCACTACCATCTGCAGCTTGGAAAAAACCAACACATGTTTGTGCTTATTTTAGGAACATGACTGTAGATTTTCTAGTTTGTAAAACTGTACTTGGTTGGTTGGTATACCAGAATTCAATGTCACGTTTTCATTTGGAATTCGAAGTGAGGTCTCAGGGTGTAGTGCATGAATATTTCATCTGGAGAAAAAGCTGACCTAAATGATTGCTTCCACATAGTTCATCTTATCACACTATCTTTCTGCCCATGTAATAGTTTGATATGTAATTCTTCAAATAAGACCAATTAAATTATCTAAATGAAGTAAAATTTAACCTCTCCCTCCTTCCCTAAATCATAGTATCACAGAATATGCTGAGTTGGAAGTGCCCCATAAGGATCATTGAGCTCAACCCTTAGCCCTGCACAGGACCATCCCCAATAGCCACACTGTGTGCATGAAAGCATGATTTAAAACATCTTTGCTGCTACAAAAATCATTAATAGAGCTACCACTTGCATACCCTTTCTGGTTCTGCCTCTAAATTTCAGCTTTCATGTATTTGAACAATGCAACACCTATCCTTTCTATAGCAGCAGAGATTACTGAAGGTGAAAAACAGTACAAATCTCATTTGCTAAGAACTCACAAACCATCCTATACTCCCATCATATTTTTATGATGTGAAAACATTCACAATATATTTAATGTACCAAATAACCGGTGGAATATTTACAAATATTTTCATTTCAGTGATTTTATATCCTACTTTGATTAATCCAGAGAAATGTCATGGCTTTTCCCACTCAATTTTATGCAAAAATTTGGCATGGTTTCTGAGAAGAAGCTGTTTCACAAATTACCCCCATACAGATGGAAATGACAGCCAGTGTACCTATGCAGCTATTTTCTAAATTACATTCACACAAAGGATTATGAAGAGGAGGTAACAATAACTAGGGAACTGGGAATACTGCTGGTAGTATTCACTTAACCTTATTAAATAGCCATTTATGTCCAAGTGAGGACAGTAACCAGTCTAAAAGAGAGGAAGTAAGCAGTATAAATTTCTTGCCTGTTTTTATTGTCCAAACATTGGATGCTAAGTGCTGCTACAACTGCTTCAATTGTGAAATTTCCTTTATTTATTTTAGGGAAAGTTCCAGAGATGCACAGGTCATGTGACCCCACACTTAGTGGGTCAAGGACACAAAGTAGCTACAAGCTCTTCATAAACAGGTAATCTCAAATCATATTTCTACAAGATGAAAACTGTTTTATAACCAAGCGAAACAGACAACTAGTGTGGCAGTGCCACTAGCAGAAAATGCCTGGATGGCCATCTGGGCTGTTTTGAGAATAGATACTATTTATGTAGAATAAATACCTTAATAATACATCACATTCTACTATGTAGAATAAATAAATAATGTGCACCTAGACTTAATTTGGTTCCAAGTGGAACAATCCAAATGCTCTAGTGAAATGAAACTTGGGCCCTGAACAATCCACACAAAAAAAGCGTGTTCAAGATCTCCACCTTTACCACTGTGTCCTGCCAGATGCCATGGGCCTCCCAGAACAGCTGCCCCTGGCTGTGTCTCCATCAGAATCGGGCAAGCAGCAATAGCCCTATGTCACTGAAACAACTGGGAAGCAGCTCCACAAAGACCATGGAAGGTTGGACTTGATGATCTCGCAGGTCTCTTCTGACCTTAATGGTTATATGATTCTATGAAGGGAAAAACCTGTTGAAAAGGTATGAACAGTCATCACTTTTCCTGTCAAGGCATTCTGGCGGAGTCCTTATTTTTCTGTATTCAGAATTTGGATGTGGTTTTCCCTTGCTGTCACATTAGCAGAGGCCTTTTGTGTTCTGGAGTGGTTATGGTAGACCATGTGATCCATAATTTTCAGTGGCTTTTTGCATTTCCATCTAGGTACTTAGACTGATTTTTCTCACTTGTATCAGCCGTATTCAGCCCTGCACCACTACTTTACTGAAGAGTTATAGGTGACCCAGGGACACAAGCAGTAAAGACCTCTGCTCTGCCATGAGGATTAGCCTCATTTCAGCCATGGCATGTACAGCAGTCCTGTAGACACTGACAAAGAAAACTGAGAATTGTACAGCTGATACTAACTCCTTTTCAAAAGCCAGGGACACATCACTGCTGCTACACAAGAGTTTTCTAGACTGGGTGTTAGCACAGTGCAGCTATAATCATGGCTGTTTCCAAATGAAGAAGAGATGTCAGCACTGTTAGCCTCTAGGCACCACAAAGACCAGAATCCCATAGTTAAGCACCATGTAATCCCTACAGACATCCCATTTAATAGAGTTCTTGACCCAGTTAAGCAGGAGTTTCTTCTTTTAACCATGACATGAGAAATTCAGGCCCACAGGAAATGCTCCATTTAGATCAATTCCCAGCTAAATGTATCCCAAGTAGACAGTTTGAAATTCCTGATAAATCAGCCAGGATAATCTGGGCGATATGAAACACCCCAGTACACCTCTAAAACTGCAACAAGAACGAATAACAATCAGGTTGCAGGATAGTGTCTGCTTTAGTGAAAAAAAGAAGTCTCTGTGTACCTGTCTAACTACACACACACATATATATATGTGTATATAGACATCTATATATGCATCTTATACCTGGCAATTATATCAGTAACAGAGGATTTATTTTCCGAGTATTTTGGAGCAACAGCCATGCCTCTGATTAACAACTTGGGTATGATCTTGATATCCTTGATCTAAAATCATGATGCCAAGGATAAGTTCCCCTCCTCTGCTGAAAGATGAACTCTCTTCTCCAAATCTCCAGCAAGCTATTTCCCATAGAACTTCAAGGACTGTAAACCCCACTTTTGGTTGTAAGCATCTGCAACTGAATTTCTACCAAGGTCACCATCCTATTGCAAGTACCTGAACAGCAATGGAGATGAAATAACCACTTTGGAAAACACCAGTTTGCCATGCAGAAGGACAACCAATACAAAACATAGTGATGGATTTACTAGCTATAAAGCTTTTCATCATGCTCAGTTCTGTAGGCAGTCCAACTGACATTTACATGTTAAGCTTGTAAGTATATGCAGGGCTCTGGGCTAGATATAAAGAAGACACAGCTGTCAAATCTGGCATCTCTCACCTCACAGGACTAATAACTGGAAGTGTTTTCCTCAGGAAAAGAAAGCCTTCTTAATAAAGAATCTTGGGTTTTGAGCTAAAAGTATTTTTATGCTCACAAAAGTCACTTCAGGTAATTTTTAGGTATATTTCTTAGGTAAATGTTGATTTTTATGAAGTTGTATTGATAGAAACAAAAATACCTAGATATGTTTATAGACAGAAGAATGTAAACTAGGATATGACAGAACAGAACAGAATAGTTCAGTTGGAAGAGACCTGCAATAATCACATAGTCCAACTGCCTGACCACGTCAGGGCTGACCAAAAGTTAAAGTGAGTTATTAAGCGTATGTCCAAATACCTTTAAAATGGGCCAGTGACCACCTCTCTAGAAACCCTGTGCCAACATTTGGCCACCCTCTAAGTAAAGAAATGCTTCTTAATATGATGTCTGAACCCCACAGAATGTAGCTTTGAACCATTCCCATGTTCCCTGACACTGGATACTAGGCACAAGAGATGAGCAACTACTCAAGTACATTTGTTAAAATTTTTTTGAAACTCCCTGAATAGTCTCCTGAAGCAAGTTTGCAACATGCAAAAGAAAAGGATGAAACTTTGGAATAATGAAAAAGCTTCCATGTGACTTTGGCATTTGTTAAAAAATGTAATTAACAAAAATCCACCTCAATATAACCTCTCCTGAGCCACATATTCATTCTTTCCTCATTGGCAAGAGTACATAGTATATTTTAAGTTTATTCTAAGGGTACATGTGTCTGCTAAGGTGGAAAACACCATTACTTCAGGCGTTAAAACTGTAGTACAAAGACAGCTTTCTGATCTGAGATTTCATACATCTTTCTAGTAATTAAATTGAAAATTCCCTCAGTTCCCTAAGACATTAATTTATTCTGATGGATTAGTATTCAAATAATTTAATTACCATTCCTGGAAAATTCTGAATAATGTAACAATGAATTATAAGGCTTTCTGCAGATTTTTCCTTGAGAATATAAGAAATGAGAAATTTACTTAGTCCTGTAGAATTCCAAGAAGGGTATGGGGCTAAACTCTTTGCTTGTTGGCTTCACAAAACTTAAACCAGCTAGATCTGGTTCACCAAATGAAAAAAAAAGAAAAAAAAAGACTTACCTAATTAAAGCAGAGTTTAGATTTATTTACAAAGGGCATCAGTAATATTATTCCCGCTAAATTATTTTTCTTTTTCTGTAAAGAAACATTTAAGAACTTATAACCGACATTTCCCTGGACTTCATAATACCCCACAATATTCCTAGTTAATGTACCTTAAGCTCTTTGTCCTCAAGTCAGTGCTGTTTTGATTGCATGCTATATATATATTGCTCACTGTGACATTTCCATTGAAGGTCGGTCAGTGCTGTAGAAGAAATCCCTGGTGGAACTCAGAAGAACAACCGACAGAACCTGTTAAGCTTAGGTTCCACCTTCTCTGTGTCTACAAAAGACTACACAGCAGCTGCTTCATCACAGAAGTGTTTATTCCACAGGAAGGAAAAGGTGAATGATGAAAAACATATAGGCTTATTTCAAAATGTAAATATCACTAAAGAGAAACCTCTCATTTAATTGTTGTTCAGCAGCAACCTGCATATTAGCTGCTGAACCATCTCATTCTATGAGTATTCTAAACTGACAGACTCCAAATCAGGCATGATCCAGTTGTGATATCTCAGAACTGACAACAGTGAACAGCTCATGTTCGTAAAGACTATGCAAAAGCTGATAATTGAACCCTCTCTAACTACGTGTGATTTCTGCAAGCATCAAACACCATATGGACTGTTTTCACCAACCACTTTAACAGGAGCTTCAGAACACCAACAAAATTTGCAAAGATACTGAACCCAAACGTTTGCTGGTCAATGGTGCTCCAAGGACTTAAAAGTTTTGTTACAGAAATCATAGGCTAGCACCGAGTGTGCCAAACCAATAGTTGTCCTAACTGTCTACTTGTAGTTGCTAATTTGTTGTAAGACTATGTTAAAAGTGAAGGGTAATGTTTCTTTGGCAACTGAATCACAAAAATCCAGAAATAATTGAATCACAGAAAACTCCACAATGATTTTTCCTATGGAGCTTTCTCTTGTGGAAGTAGAGACAGATTTTAGGCTGATGAGCCCTTTCACCTTGTCTCAGTTCAGAAGCTCAGGACTGACCAGTAGCAGACATTTGGTCAAGAGCTTCAGTTAGATAGTTTGGAAAATTATCCTTTTACATATAAATTTGGTTTTAAATTTTATTAATATGATTTTTGTTGAGATAATAATTGAGTTTCTCAGAAGGAGTTCAGCAACCGTTATAACAAAGTGCTAGTCCCTCTTTAATGTAATATAAAAGTGCACTCTCTGTTGGCAGGACAATAGTATTATTATGAAATAAACCCTAATTTTTTTTTTAAAGGATCTAAATGAGTCAAGTTACTAAGTCATGGACAATGGCTGGAAGGATTCACATCTTATCACTTGCAGACATTTAGTTATTTCTCTCTGCATAAGGTATCTAAAAGCATAGATAAATCTGGTGAAAACCCAATGTGCAAAATTACTTGAGGTGGATACTCAGCAAGAAAAAAACCATCTTGCCCTGTTAAAGTTTGTTGAAGTAAAAAAAAATAATTAAATGTCTACTAATAAGAACTATCAGTCAGCCTTTATTATAGGGAAGAAAGCAGCTCTGTTTTTCAGTCTGGTTCCTATGTAAACCAGGCTTATGAAATCACAGTGGTGTGTATGTATGTGTTTACATGTCTGTGACTGTCCTCAGAATAACTTGAGAATCAAATGGGAAAAGGTCTCAGAATAAATTAAGTATCCGTAAGTGACATGAAAATAGGTGCCTTGTAAAGGAAATTAATCTTGGTTAAGTTCCTTTATAGAAGAAAAGGCTTCAGCATGAGCTTACCCCCACTTAGACCACAGAGTCTCCACACAGGAGAGACCTCACACAGAGAGAAGTCTTCAGTCAGCATTTGCACATTATTAGACACTGAAGTCAATTAGCTCCAGCACATAGATCAACAGAAATGGATTTCATTGATACTTGTGTTTGGGATTTTCATTACATTATGGAGACAATTTACTAAATTTCTAAATTTCCTCCTTGCAGTTTTCAGGTCCAGAATTTATTATTTTGTCTGGTGAACCACCAGTGACCTTGCAGCTGCCTGGATCAATTGTGGTAAGTACATAAAGAATTTAGGACTAATCTAGCTACCTTTTAGTTGGGGCTCTTTGTAAGTTGCATCTGAGTCCCAACTCAGTTTTCTCATCATGTCTTCCTCTCAAAACATATTACCTTCAGAGGTATTGAGAATTGGAAGGAAGTGATTTAATTCTCACTGCTATTTAGTTATTTCTGTTAGTTTAAAATTAGCTTAATTTATCCTTCTGAGCTAAGAATGCTCACTTTAGCCCAAGACTTTTGAGACAAAGATTATACAACAAATATGCAATGTGACATCTAATGCCAATGTATGGGACTTCTCCAGCTTGCAGCCACATTCTTTAACTTTCATTGAGATAAGGTAAAAAGGTGACAGCATACAGCAATAAAAATGAGGGCAAAGAGAATTTGGAATTACCTCCAAATCTAGAATAACCCTGGTGACTATAGAGTCTGGGTACGGTCAGCTGTTTTGTTGGGATTCTCTGGGTTTTTTAAAAATTATAAATGTTTGTGATATTAATTTATGAGAAGACAGGGAATAGCATAATGTTGTGACCATTTTAGTGAGGTTATGTAGAGATAGGAGACTAAGGGACCTCAGTAATAAAATGCTGTGGAACCTGAATTGCTTGTATTTGGCACTCATTCTTCATTCTTTGTTGTACATTCTTAGACTAAAAAAGGGAAATCCTATTTGTCCCAAAGGGATCTCAATGTGATTCTACTCAATGGGCAGTGCCTCGAGGTGCAATGTGACATCAAGACCAAGGCAAGAGATGTTTTCAACACCGTGGTGGCATATGCAAACTTGGTGGAACATTTCTACTTTGGCTTGGCTTACCTGAAAGGTAATGAGACAGCTAAATACAGCAACAGCTTTCTCCCTCTGTGCCTCTGTAGTCACTTCATTAATGAATTCCAGTAAGATCTTTTAAGATACTCAGATGAAAGCAGACAAAAAGCTTAAGCAAAAGTAAGGTACATTGGTTTAAACTCTACTGCACTGAGTTAAAGCATGTCTATCCTAGAACTGTGCATATTACTAGATGATATTCCCACTTAGAAAAGGCTGTGTCTCAGCCTTGACCTGGAATAATACTGAGCCATGTAGCTCCAGCAGAAATTCCAGGAAGCACTGTACTGAGGAAGGCTGACTATCTTTGTCCCTGGATAGGACTACAGCTTCAGCTATGTCATCTACAAGATCCACCTCTCCCTAGTCCATTTCTGGTGGCAAGCATGGCTGAGAAGCATACCTTGTGCCTAGGAATGCAAGCTCCATCAATTCTATGTGATTCCACAGATACCACACTAATCCAGCATCTAACAGTTGTAATCCTAAATTACATACTGTTATCCTAATTCTCCATCAAAGAGCAGAAAGTTAAGCCATGACACAGAGAAGTGAATCTCACTGACATCCACAATCCATTTTATATTTTATTGCTGGTGATGCACTATATGAAGATAGCAGAACTTTGAGCTGCTGAAGTATATCCAGATTTATTACAGAACCCAACATTCTCATTTCAGGTAAAGAATTCTTCTTTTTGGATGAGGAGACCAAACTCTACAAAGTGGCCCCAGATGGCTGGAATGACCAACCCAAGAAGAAAACCTCCATCATTAATTTCACACTCTTTCTAAGGATAAAATTCTTTGTCAACCACTTTAATGTTATCCAGTAAGTGCACAGTTCTGCTGGCTGCAGGAAAAACAGTAACTTTTAGGGATACCCTTTAAAGCTCCTCCTGTGTTCCTAAACCCTTCTGTATTCCAGGCACGGCTTGACAAGGCATCAGTTTTACCTGCAGCTTCGTAAAGACATTTTGGAAGAACGATTATATTGCAATGACGAGACTGCCCTGAAACTCGGCGCTTTGGCTTTACAGGCAGAGCTTGGCAATTATGCTTCTGAGGTGTGGATAAATAATACAATATTTCTCTGAGGTCTCTCTCAACAACTTTTGCAGCTTTTGTTTGTCACATAGCATTTAAAGAAGAAATGTGAATAGTGCAGAATTTCATTTAAGTCCTCCAGTTAAATCCTTCAGATTTAATTAAAAGAATTACAAAATTTTCCCAATTAAGGAGCAGTAATGAGCCAGGTGAATTTGGCAGGAAATATAGCAGAGTGATGAGAGATTCTTTATCCTTCATAACTGATAACATATTCTAGAAACCCCAGAAAATCTGTAGAAAATTTCCAACATAGGCACAGCATGGATGTGCAGAGGGGCTTAGAGAGTAGTAAACATGGAAGAGAAAAACAAATGAACACTGCAGAATTCACAGCTATTTTATGTGTAGGCTCAGATCCACAAGCCACAAAGACAGGAAGGTCACAGACGGTATATCTGAACTAGTTGTCCTAGTTTTGAAGTGTATAGAAAATGCCCATTTATGTTCTCTTCCATATCCTAAGTTGTATAAATTAGTTATATAAATTAGTGTAGCTCTACTAATTGAACTCTGAGTGGTCTGATCCATCTGATCGGATCCATCACGGCCATGGTCCCCCAGTGTAGGTTGCACTGTAGCTGTCAGCTCGAAGTGTGGAACATACTGTAGGACACACCTTTGTCCTCTCTGCACAAAGAAGTGGTATGTGCTTTGAGCACCTGGCTGAGCACAGATACAAAAGATACAGGCTGTCAGGACTCTACCTGTTGTTCTCCACCTTCCTCTAGGAAACATGGTGGCTTCTGCATATGGGCCACCCCGAAAATGAAATGCAAAGAATAAGAAAAGTCAAGTAAGAACAAAAGGCTCTTGTTTCTCTGGGGTTTTTGTTTGGTTTTTTTTCCCCACAGATGCATGGAAAGAACTATTTTCGTGTCGAAGACTATGTTCCAGCAAGTCGAATAGAGAAAATGACCCTGGCGTATGTACAGCGAGAGCTTGCTAAATTACATCGTATGAATCGTTCCCTATTTGAGGATGAAGCTGAACTAGAATTTTTAAAGGTAACTTGCCATACCCCAAACATTATTTATTTATTTATTTTGAGGTGGAAAGCCCCTCTCTATTTAGCATTTTCTCTTATTTCCTTCTTGCCTGATACAGTGGATTTTAGATATGGTGAACAAATTTAAATAGTCAACAAAAAACTCTGAGTTTCATTCTGCTGTAGATACTTTCACTGAGAGTTTATATAAAGTGTTAAAGCACATTTTAGTGTATTTTCAGCATCCTAAGGCTTGATGCAAATTTTTGGCATGTTACTAACGTGTCTGGGTTCCAGATGATTATAAAACATGGGAATAAGCCCTTTTTTGGACTTCTGAAATTACAGCAGCTGTTCAGCCACTTTCTAAACATGTAGTGATTGTTTGTTCAAAATTATCTGTGAACCCTGGAAGTGAGGGAGGAGTTCTCTGAAGTATTTCCTCACATGACTATATCTCTAGGGCTCAAAAGTGTCATGATGATGTGGGATTTAATTTTTTCCTGCTAATTTCTACTTCTCCCTAAACTTCTCTGCTTTCCATCAAATGAATAATATCCGAGATTAAATAAGGGATAAATATTAGCACCCATTTTGCTGCAGTGCCACATGCTTTTATTTATAGCATCATTTTATTTCAGCTGCTATTTAATTATATTAGTTCCCCATCTAACACTGTCAGTGGAATTGAAGAAATAGATTGAAGCTTAGTCTTAATGACAGTCCCATCATGTGTGGCAAATCCAGTGAAGAAAAGTAGCTTTGTTAGTATCTGTTTCAATGAATAAGTCTATAGAAGGAGCCAACACATCACACAAAGTGAGAAAGATAGCCCCCATGGCAAGAACATGTAAATTCCAAATATGAAAGGGATTAAAAATTAAAATCCAGATTCAGCTAGTGATTATAGATGCCCCAGTTTTGAGGACCTGAACATTTGTACTATGGATACTTCCTGAAAAACGGATCTTCTTAAAGTGTTTTATTTTGGTCACTGAAAATTTCTATTCATGGTGTAGAAGTCATTTGGGGGTTCTACAGCAGCTTCCTAGAATGAAAAAAAAGTTTTAGCACAAACTCATGTTGATCCGCAGATCACAAAAGAGGACAGCAAACCCTCCTCATATTCTGTAGTCACATTTTAACATTTTTGAGGCCAAGTACAGGAGGTAGAAAGACAAGCATCAACACCCAGAGCCTCTGGATGAGTTCCTCAGAGTATTCTCGGCACAGCTGGAGGGCTGGAGCAGAACCCAGCTCCTCAGTCCCTTGAAGTTTAATCCTACTTAACTTTTTGCCCAGAAATGAGCACTGTGGAAGAAAGAAGTGACACTGAAGATCTGTTACTATAAAGTCTGGCACTGAAGGGATATCTAAGGCAGTGAAATTCCATCCAAAGACACCAGTATATTTAGGTGAAATACTTTGAGGTACAATTTAGCCAAACCTGTAACTTAAGATGTTGGCAATGGAAATATATAATGTCTTATTTTCAAAGATGATAGCCATGAAGGAATGGGCATACATACCTGAGTGAGTTTGTTGCAAGCTGGGAGCTGTAATGTCACTGAGGTTAAGATTTCCAGTTGACCGTCAATGTTGTAGAGAGGAAACCCCACAAGCCCATAATAATGTCAGAGTAGCCCTGGCACCAAAATATTAGTAGTTTTATTAAGATAGTGATATTTGCTGTACCTCGTGTTTTCTGGGTTTGCTCAAGGAAATAGAAAAGAAAATAGAAATAAACAAGGTTTCACAGTAGTTAGCTGCACTAATCCTGTGTGGATTTCTATTCAGAAATGCAGTGGCAAAAATGCTGAGTACCTCAGTGCCACTGTAACGTTTACATGATTGTGCAGGAAGCTACATAACACCCCTACATCTTCAAATGAAGTATGTGGGAAGTGTTATTTCAATTTTACACGTGGAAAATTAGTGTATGTAGTAACTCTATGACATCCTAAAGTAAGGTGATGACTCTGTGAGGCAGTAGGCATGAAAATTTGGTAAGAGTTTTCAAAGGATCCTTGACAGACTGAAAGAACACTCAGCAAAGAGACTCAAAAACATTTCCTCTCCCATCTACCTGCCTTTTCAGTAATGAATGTTTTTCAGTAATGCATGGTAAAAGTCCTTTTTCTCTACAAGGTGACTCAGCAACTTCCCGAATATGGAGTGCTATTCTATCGTGTGTCCCAAGAGAAGAAAGGAGCAGAAGGGGACATAATCCTGGGAATCTGTGCCAAAGGCATCATTGTCTATGAGATCAAAAATCACACAAGAATTGCCAGTTTACGATTCCAGTGGCGTGAAACAGAGAGAATTTCAGCTCATGTGAGTTGGAACTAACTGAACCTCATCTCCACTTCATGACTTTACTCCTCTTCTTCCTGACACTTTGCATTAAGAGCCAGAATTAGACTCATTCCATACAGGCAAGTCATTTTTGAAAATAGTTTCAAATCAAAGCTGGATCTGGATGTGAAGATACCCAGTTCTTCATGAGGTATAGTTCTAGAGGGTTTTTGCCAAAACTGGAGTTGAATTACTATAACACTGAATAATCTGGTGTTGACTATTACAGAGAGACTATGTCGAACCTCTCTATGGCATATTGCATATTCATTCCTCTCTTGTCTTTACTGCTCTCTCTTTTTTCTTCTGTTTTCTTACCTACACCAGGTAATAGGATCATGTCTCCTGCTTCCAGATCTCATTATTCCTACCCCTATCTCTGACTATATTAACAAACTAGTATTGGTGACAAGATTGTGATCCTTTCTAAGTGGGATTTTGACATTAGAGGTATATCCATCTACTGTCATACAGTCTAGGTGTGTCAGACTGCATCACATACTTCTCAGCTTGTTTGCTCTCCCAAAATGGTCCTGCTGCTCCTTGAAGATATGTCCATTTTCACATTAAATTTGTTTAATAATTTTAACATCTGTAGGGCCAAATTTTGCAGTTCTAGCAACCTGCTCTCAATGCATTCAATGTCCAAAGGCTCTTGACTTGTCACATAGAAGATACATAGACATTTTGCTAACAACTGTTGAATTTACAACAGGCATTTACTGCACCCAAAAAGGCTTGCAGTCAGGTATAAATACAACTGGACAAAACAAGATTATATAAATGAACTTTCAGTACCTCAGTGTAGTGACTGATATATAAAACAAACTGTGCTGGTTTTTTTCCCTTCAGAGAAAAAAATTCATGATTGAAAGCAGCTTCAGTGGCAAGAAACACACCTTCATTACTGATACAGCGAAGACATGTAAATATCTACTGGACCTCTGTTCTGCCCAGCACAAATTCAATGCACAGATGAATTCTAGGCAACTTCGGCAAACTTCATCAGGTGAGGTATAAATGCACTTTCATTACTGGGCCCATAGGACAGGGTTATGTTTTAGGAAAGGTGCATTCACCAAAGCTGAGAATTAGAACCCGCCACATTAGTTTCAATCTGCTGCAGTTAGAAAATAATGCCTCCTACTACACTGGAAGTTAGAGGAGTGTAAGTCTAACTTGGCATGTGCATGTGAATGGGCATGTGTAGCAGGTGAAGAGGGGTTCTCTGATGATAATAACAACTATGTAGCTAAACTCAGATTTAAAAAAAATAATAAGCATGATGTCACTTCCCTTCAGGAGACCTGCTTAGAATTATACCCCAAATGTAACATGAAAATATTCCACACAAATTAGAACTATAGTAGTGCCCAGATATGCTGGAGCTGAATTTAGTTATCTTTGCATAAGACAGGGATTCAACTCCACGGTTCAGTCCCAGGACAAAACCACTAAACCAAAGGCAAGTGAGTCATACCCTCTCAACTACGTAGCTGCTAGCAGCTCTTATCTTAGATTTTGCCATGTCTGTGGAAGATATTACTAATATCTCCTTAAGACTTCAGATTTTCCATAGTTTCTAAGACAAGGTTCTGCTCAACCCAGGGCAGTTACATAGCACTTCTCACCCACAATTCTCAGCATGTTCTGTAAAAATGGGTGAGGATCATTATGGGGAAACTGAGGCACATAAGAAATAACAGTCTAAGCTGACCACTGTCATCACTCTTGACTTCAGTGAAGCAAAAGGAATTTTCACTAGCTCATCATTTCACTGCCTGGAACAGAACCATAATCATTTACAACCCCTGAGTGTTTGACCCAGTAAGTCCTAAGAGGAGAGTAAAGTGTCACGCCTTATCTGTTGGCATACTCTTTTCTGCAGTAAAACTGTAAACAAATTATACCATGGGATATAACAGGACTATTGAAATATTGCCTCCTTCTCACTAAAATCATTTAATGAAAGGTGAAATTCCACCAGCACAAATTTGTTCCCATGGAAAAAAATGCTAGGATAGCATTTAGGTTCAAAGCACCTTTTGTTGATTGATGCCTGTAGCTTCAAACATAATTTAGTGGGACTGTGCTTTTTAGCATGCAAATGAGTGCTAGTAGCAAATGCTACAGTTTCCTGTGTCACATTCGTTTGTAGTAATATGTCCTAATAAAAATTATTACATTCCATATATAACAGAATAAATGATTGAGAACTAAGAAAATTATAACCCAAGACCTGATTACAAGTACACCAAACCACTGAAACAAGCCAGACTTACACAAAGCATGTGACCACAGGTTCTGAGGTTCAGTGTGTGCTTGCTGTCCCAGAAAAAAAGCTTTGTGAAGGCAATGACAGACAGTAGTACAAAATGCTGCTTTTGCCAACACAGTGAGGCTGTAAAAGATTATGAGACTCTTTCTGCACACTTCTGCTTCTGTTGCACTGTTCAGATGTATAAGTCACCATCACTTCAAAACTTGATAGCAACCCCCTGCTTCGGAATCACCATAGCAACTCCAGACTGCACTAATACTGTGGACAGTTAAGCCTTCTGATGCCTTAAGAAATGCCTTTGATCAAAGCCACCAAGGAAAGAAGAGCCTAGATTTAATGCTGCAGAGTAGTGTTCTAGAAAGTTGTATTCAGGTTAATATTTATTAGGAAAACACACGGGAGGTTAGCTGTCATTTATAAGCAGAATTAAAGCCCATATTGATGCTGGCCTGTATCAAGCAGAGTTTTTGGGTTTGTCTTCAATTTTCTGCTGTCCTTCTCTCTCCAAATTCCCTCTTCAGACCACCAGCTGAGAACCTAAATAAATTAATGCCTCCTTAAGCACTATCTTGTTTCAGAAAAATAAAATCCTTTTTGTATACAGTAGAGCCCAGGTGTCATTAAGCAAGTAGTAGATTTCACAGGAAAGTGGAAAACTGGCCACCAAGATGGTCCCCTAATTAACTTCACTTGTGCAAATCACTCAGCTCTTTGGCACCTCTCTGAATGTTGGAAAGTATGTGTGAGTAGAGCTCCTGTCTTCTCAGATATACATATAATGGAGGGGAGGGCCTGTGAAGGATCAGAAATTACTACCAAGATGGCTAATTCAGACTTTGACAGACAGATATGTCTCATATACCAAATATTTACAAAATACACTTTACAGAGATATTCAGGTTTAAATTATATAGGGTTGTACATTTCATCTGTCTTTGTGGAAAGTGAATTTGTAGTATAATTCACAGAAATGAAACCTAAATATAGTATATGCTTTCTGTGAAAGAAATGGATTTAAAACTACTCACTCCAAGGCCTGGATATTCTCAAAGATAAAAGAAAAATATATCTGTAATGTCGATCTTATTTTTTTTTGGCATGTTCAAAAGGTTAGATGGAAAGTTCCTTCGAGCTTAAAAAGATGGGACAATATCAGTGGATTTGTCTTTCCTTACTTCCCTCTCTCCCTTCTTATTCAGAGGACAGTAAATTTGTGGAAATAGACAAATCAAATTCTGCATATGCAGCTCAGCGTGAACACCTTGCTCTTATCCAGAGACTGTCTCGTTCAGAGAATGTGCTCTATGGAGCAAATCTGGAAAACCTTTCTGCTGGGATGATGAGCAAATCTTGTGATAACCTCAGTGTGGAAACCAACAACAGGATGAGAGACAAAAGCAATCTTGGCAGGTAGGTTTGCTTTTTCCTCTAAACATGTGTAAGAATACTCAGTCGTAGATTATATAATTGCAAACCTCTGTGCTAAACTATGAGGCAAACTTTTTTTTAAAAAGTTTTTATTGTGGTCACATCAAAAGTCTGGGGGCTCCATGGTGCCAGCAGTAGCACAAACACAGGCAGGAAACTAACAGACCAACAGATAAGAACTTGAAAAAGAATGACATTTAAATTTGTACCAGACTCAGGAACGAACCATTTACTGGGTTATGGGGAAGTATAAAAAAAAGGGAGAATAAATGTAAAATCTGTTTGTGTATCTTCTTGGAAATGGTAATATGTGAACTAAATGCACAGTGGAAGCTGTTTTTGATCAGGAATGGAGGAATCAACTTGATTCCTCCATGTCTAAAGGTGCAAATCATAGGGAACAGTACAAGAACTTCCCTCTCCTCATTTGTGTTGGTACACTCACCTGTGTAGGTGGTTACTATAGCTGCACCCAGTCTCAAGGCCTTTGATGAATTCTAGTGCCTTTTAGAATACTAGAAGTTAGAATAGAGCCAAGAAGAACATGAATTACCAGGAAAATTTTTAGACACAGTTTTGTCTAAACAAACAGCAGGGCTAAATGAATCATGCTGAGACTATGCTGTGTTTTCCTGATGCCTGCACTCAGCTCAGAGAAAAACACAGGGCAAAATCAGTCATATGAATGGTCTAATGGCAGCTGTTATTTGGAAGTAAATGCTGGCAAGGATAAATTACCTCTCCCCTACAATGAAATGCTTGCTGAAAAGATATAAACATGTGCCTTCCCAACTTGGCGCTGACAGACTGACAATGAAGGGTGCTAAATACCCTTGCTGATTTGTTATTTTAACATACCTTCCTGCAGGTCCTTATCAGGCCTATCCCAGTCAGAAATGCACATCAATTTGAATGAAAAGCAAAGGAGCTATGACTACCTCTCTATCCATTCAACTCAGAACACAATCAGTGGTAAGTATAATAATCATAAAGGGAGACATTATCCTCCCATATTTGCTGTTTCAATATCAGGATAACAAGATATATTCTACTTACAGATTAAAGAATAGCCTATTGTACTTCTAGTTCTGGGAATTAACCCAGAGTTTAGCAAGACAAACTGTTTTCTTCCCTTTAACTCCTGCTTTCTGTCTGGATCAGTGATAAGGGACTTCACAATAAAATTATTCTATAATGGTGCCTATTGCTCTACAGAGACGTAGTTCAGTACACCCAGAGACTCTTGCACAGGGCAGTGTCCCTCTGCTCAGAGGTTTGCAGAGGTTTGGTTGGTAGTTGAGATCTACAAATCAATATATAATGCATAAGACAGCATAGGCTCCAGGTGCTCCTCTCTTTTTGCATTTGTGTGGCACTAACTGGACTAAGGCCTGGATACCTAATTTTCTAGCAGAAGCTATATTGCATGCACACAGTGAGTAGATCTATGGAATATGAAGCTATGCTTAATTGGTTAGTCCATTTTAAAAATAGAACTGTACTTCAAAAACACTGTGGCAATTGCACAATTTTAAGTACTGGTAACAATACTGAAGTCACCATGCAATCAGTGTTGGTTGAATTGCATCTTCAGAGCCAAAAGTGCCCACAGACTAGAGTTTCCAAAGGAAGCCATAGAAGATTTTGTGTCCAAATCATGGCCAGGTTCAGTGGGCACTACATGCCTAACTCTTTAAAAATCCTAACCTTAATAAAAACATTGCAGAAAAATGCATAGTCTCACAGAAAGGAATATTATAGGAAGAGCTTACACAACTCTGTACATAGACTTTTCTGAAGAATGAAAACTTCTGAACACTTGTTTGAGCTTCCTTCCTGAATTATATTAATTCAGAAGTAGTGGCAATGTTGAAATCAAGGACAAAATATATTTTAATTTTTGGAACTCCAGTTTTGTAAAATATATGAATCTACTGTCTCCCTGCATTAATCTACATTTATTCTAGCTGTTTTGTTTCTGCAGCACCTGCATCACCAGCCATTCAAAAGGAAGTTTTTCTAAGTGGTCTAGAAAGAGAAATCATTTGTGTCAGCCTAAAACGTGACCCTAAGAATGGATTTGGTAAGTAAGGAACATATTCCTGGGACTAACAGATTCTGGTGCTAACACTGATACTTGCTGAGTTAAGCTGGGCAAGACCGTAAACTTGTTCTCTCCATTTATACTTCTTATAGAAGACTACCAGCCTTTGTAAAGGATTTAGAATTTCCAAGACTGAAAAGGACTAAGCACATAACTCAAGACCACTATGTTTTAAGAGGAGTAACTAAGGCCACAGAGATCAAGGGGACCAAGTGCAAAGAGTAGAATGAAAGGAACATGGTTTTAGTTTTGTATCTGAAATACATGTGTACTGATTTTATTTATCTTAAGCCTCACAGGTTTTACATGTGAGGGTGCAAAATATGTACACAAACTCAACGTGAATGTTTGTCAACTTTTGGATGATTATTTGGATAATAACCATCTAGTTATCTAATACTGTAATAACACTGTATCCTGTTCCTGTGGATGAATTCAGAGGACCATCCGGTTTCACAGCTGACCATTAATACAACTAAAAATCAAATTTCTAGATGGTGCAGGTCTGTGGGTAATTTCCTAATCCCAAACCCAACTCTTATAGCAGTGAGAAGAATATATTCTGCAATAGGCAGAGCTAGGATAGTGAAATTGAACTACTTGACAAAGTTTACATGGCCCACCTTAGATTTCCTGGTTGCATGATGTAGAATAATGTTAAAAATTATCTGAAAAGCTTTTATACCATTTTGCTCCTGCAGGTGTTAAACACTGCAGGTCCACCTAATTCATGACTCTTACAAGAATGTAGTTGGGGGTCTTTAAAAGTAGAAAACCAGGAAAGCATTCTTACTGAGACATTATATTTAAATAGCGACCAAAGTCACCAGCACACTTTAATTATAATGTAAGTTTAAAGCTCTCCCAAATCAAGACCTTGATGCCATGTAAATCAGAGCTCCCTATTCCTCAGACCATGTATAAACTTACACCATTGGAGTAAGAGCCTTTTGTGCTCCTAAGGTTCATCTTTTCTAATACTGCCAGTGTCTCTGCATTTTCATGCTATCTCATTTTTGCAGGTTTTGTAATTATTGGAGGAGAAAATGTAGGAAAATTAGACCTTGGTATCTTTATCGCTTCAATTATCCCTGGTGGACCTGCAGACAAAGCTGGAAATATCAAACCAGGTCATTATCCTTAGTTTTTAATTAGAATTAAAATACTTGCATAGTTTAAAGTTAGCTACTCTGGATTTATTTCCTCATTTAGATGTACTTTGTCTTGGTTTTATCTTTTTTTTTTTTCAAGGCGGACGACTCATCTCTGTGAATAATATTAGCCTTGAGGGTGTTTCATTTAATACTGCAGTTAAAATCATACAGAACTCTCCTGACGAAGTGGAGCTCATCATCTCTCAACCTAAAGGTATAAAGGCAAATGCCTTTGCTATCTATGGAACACTAATAGTTAACTCAGGACACTCAGATTTATTAGGCACTGGGATGTAGTGGTAGGTTCTTGCTACTCAGTGCCAGTTATAATAACCATGCAAGCAGTGAAAATAGTCAACTTCTAGCAGGTATCATGTGATCTCTGTTCTATGTCAGTGTGAAAAAATCTATTATGGGCTGCATTGCTGAACACTAAGGGAATTTTGGCATTTCTTTATCTGATGGAGAGTCATAGTCCTCTGCAGTGATGAAGCAAACACATTTCTCCACACTTATAATAGCAGTGCTCCATTGTACGGTGACTAACTCATTTTATGGATCAGATCTCACAATCAGTTGAAATAGGAAGTTACTTTGTCCTCCTGTTCTGGGGTATAGCAATATTTGCCTTCGAATTTACTTACATTCAGCAATGTTTTATTTTGGTATGGCTTTACAGACTTGTATGAAGAAGGATTAAATGAAGAAAAGATTCTATCAAGAGGAAACAGCACTAGTGGATCTGAGATCTCTTGTGTAGACAGTGGGAGAAAAAAGATTCAGGATTGTCATACGGCTCTCCCCAAAGAACAAGACATAAACATAGATGAACTTGAAAAGCCTCTTTCCTGGAGTATAGCACCAAAATTGGGCTCTAGGACTCCAGCTCCTTCAGCTGATAGCCTGGATGCAGAGGTAACTGAGATTTTGATGCTGCTCAGTAATGTTACACCCAGCATATAACATATAACAACACAGCAGCTATTAAGAATGGAAGGTAACTGAGAAATTAAAAACATGTGAAAAGGAGAATGAAAACCTTGGAATAAATTACACTGGAAATGTCAAAATCATAGACACGTCTGAAATATGTGAATGGGGAAACTGTTCTACAAAATGTTATTAAAAATTTTCCTTCCTTTTTCAGTGGAGGCACAAAGTTTTGATTATTTTCTCAAACTCTCTTTTAAGTTTTCAACCAGTCACAGAACAACAACATTTTGTGTCTAATTTCCTACTATTAGACATCCTCCCTATATATACTCAGCTTATGTACATTTAGACAGATTGTATTTTGAGTACCATTAGCATAAGCTTCAAATAATATCAGAGATAGAAATTGTATCATTCTAGGTTTGCAGTGACAGCAGGATCAAATCCTTTATATCTTCTGCAAATGCTCTCTTCATTCCCCCCCCCACAGCTTTTTTCTTTTTAAACTGAGATACTGTAATGTCATTAGTGTTTATATTTTTGAGACAGGTAGCTGATTCTGCCCACTTACCATCTCCATCAGAAACGAACTCAAAGGAAATCTACACGGTGGAGCTTCTTAAAGAAGATGGGACTTTTGGAATCAGTGTGACTGCAAGTGTTACTGTTAATCTTTCATTTTGTCTGTCAAACTGTTTCATGATCAAGAACAAAGGCTCTGCTCATTCCCTGGTTCTTACCTGCACAATCTGTGAAAGAAGTGTCCTGGCATAAAGCACATGGCAGTACAAACCCTTTTCATCCTTTCTCAATTTAAGAACAAGATCTACTACTGAAAGTGGAATTTGGTCAGGGAGGGATATAGCCAGAGACTCTAGAAAACATGACACAAAGAATTCTCCAAGTCAGGATGGGTTTTGTGGCTCCTCTGCAGCTCCTGTAACTTCAAGCCTGTGTCCATAAGCAGATTACATGGGACCATGGCAGAGCTCAAGCAGTGGCCACAGGCACTATTTAATTGTTGAGAGCCCCTGACATGGCTCTGGCCTGTGCCTCAACAAGCAGTATAATGGAAGTCATCCCATGCTGGGGAGCTGAAAGTTTTGCTATGTAGATTCAAGATAAACTGTGAATCTCACTCTGAAGGTCAGAGAAAGGGCCCTAGACAACTTTATTTTGTAATATAAGGAAAAGCAGTTCTCTGTGTATTTAGAGGACTGGGGAAGGCAGCAGTGAAAACTGTCTGCCACATTTGAATAATAATTAGTTGTCCTGCCTATCAAAGTTGAATTTACCCCTCCAGGCTGAGATGTCTTCACAGTCTTTGCTGAAATTGAGTAGGAAGCAACAGCCACTCCATTGCCTGCAGAAGAAATTAAGGGCTGTTTCTTCATCTGAATTTGGCCAGAGGATATAGATGGACAGAACATAATTCTTAGGCTAATCTGGAATTTTTCTGAGCTGCAAAAGTTGAGGTCCATGCTTTATATATTGTCAGAAAGGTTAATAATTGCAGAATGGATATTGCATAGCTTAGAAGCTGGGCAGGAGACTAACTGAAAGATGCAACCTCATCTTTATGTGAGCACAGGGAAAAATTTATGAACATTTACTTAATGTTTTTATATAGCCACACAGAAATGCATCGCATTTTCCTGAGAAAATAAAACAAGATTACTGTCTATGGAAGTATGTTACAACTAGATGGGGGTTTGGAGTAACATCCTCTTTCCCCTTTTTCCTATATTAAAAAAAAAAAAAGTAATTGCTGAAACAGTCGCTTTGCAATGCATGTATAAGTTGCTTTGATTTTTATCACAGGAAGAACATATGAAGACTCCACTCTAATCTGTGGGCATATGTTTTGCAGGGTGGAATTAACACTAGTGTGCGTCATGGTGGGATATACGTGAAGTCAATTATTCCCAGGGGACCAGCAGATAAAGACGGACAAATAAAGATAGGTAACATGTCTGGCAATAAAACTTTGGGCTGCAGAACTCAGTGTTAGTGCGGACAATGAAACACATTTGGGATTAGAGATTTTACAATTGTGAAATGTAATATGCACTCCATCATTCCTCAGCCTGTCCCTGTACTACATATAGATATCCCACTGAAAAAATCAGAAGCCTCACACCAACACTGTAGAGTTACTCTCCGTAGGTGCCATCAGACTACTGACTCTGACATCTACTTTCCGTGTTACTGGTATAACCAGACGCTATCACTGCATTTACTTAGAGAATACCCTGGTATGTTTTATGAGCTAGTTATAGAATGCTGTACAACAAGCAGTATTGCTTTCCTATGAATTGATATTAATTTGACACATGTAAGCATGAAGTCCTACTGTAACATGGGTAGCCTCAAGGTTTATACCCTCTGAACCTGAACATCAAAACAACTTGACCCTTTTTTTTTCCTTTTGCCTCAGGTGATCGTCTGCTGGAAGTAGATGGCATCAGCCTCTGTGGCGTCACCCACAAACAGGCTGTGGAACACCTGAAGAAATCTGGCCAGGTTTGTACAACAGCAGAGCTCAATAAGATACACAGTAGACTAAACTGGACTTAGTATGAAGCACAGTAGCAAAGGAAATCCACCCCCCACCCCCAATCCATTCCCCCTCCAACCCCATTCTCCTGAAAAGTAGAAAGACTTAGGGCTCACTGTGTACTGTGTAACTGGAACCTGTTCATCATTGTCTTAGATTGCCAAGCTGGTTCTAGAAAGGGGAAACTACCAACTGACAGAGCCAGGTGTGACTGCTAATGACAGAAAGGAGGACCAATGTGCAGTTGTTTCTGTGGCAACATCCTTCACAGATGGTACCAAGGACTACTGCTTTTTGACAGATGGTAAGCCATAAAAAAGGAACTCAGGGTGACTTCCTACAGTGTACAAGAAAGGAATGAATGAAAACAATTCTGTGAATTTTCTGTGAGTTGGAAGGTAAACTGTATGCTGAATAAAATGATTTCTGATGTACTTAGAGTTACAATTGCTAAATGTAGCTGAACTTATCCTAGATATAAATACTGTATCTCAGACTTGGTGAGATGAGGCTGGCAAGGGCCTGTACTCTATGACACTCTCAGGCAGGAAGCAGCTGTGTCAATGTGTTCAGGCTGTTACCCAGAGAGAGCATCACCAGCACAACTGCTCATGCTGTGACAGTGATGAAGCTGGGGTGAACTGCTGCCCCAGGGCAGGACTGGAGACTGTCATCATTTAATTTCTTAAAAACAGAAGATTCAGAGATCACTTTCATAGAATTTAGCCAACAAATAAACACCAGATTTTTTACTGAAGATTGTCTCATAAACACTAAGTTTGAACCATACCTTTCCACTGGGAAGTTACTCCTCTACGTTGTTCCTAGGAGTATGGAATTCAGCTACAAGCATGGAATTTGGGAATGGCCTGATCTCTCATTCTCAACTGAAAGAGCAGTAGTTCCAGCTTATGCTGGTTAGTGCTGGAAATAAACTAACCTTGGGCAGCTACAGAATAGTAAAATTTATGCAACATTTACAGGAGAATGTCAGAAGAGGATAGCATGTGAACTCTTTATGTTGGTACAAAAGGCTTCTGCTTTTGTACCAGATTGCAAACAAAAGGTGGAATAGATTCCAGTTCTCCCTATTCTGCTAGAGAGATTTCAAGAACTTATGTAAGATAAAGGAACACCAAACCCTTCTTTTGCCACTACTAGGAGTAGACCTACCTCTGCAGCACAGAGGGAAAATGTCTGTTGAGAGTATAGTACATCAGCTCCTTAGGGGGTACATATGTCATGGTTCCCACTTCTTTTCCAATCTCTGCTTTGAACAGATAATACATTTGAAGTGAGATTAACAAAGAATTCTGGAGGCCTTGGATTCAGTGTTCTGCAAATGGAAGAAGATTCTTGCGAACACCTTGGAGGAGCTATTGTAAGGATCAAAAGACTGTTTCCAGGGCAGCCAGCTGAAGAGAATGGAGAAATTGAAGTTGGAGACATCATTTTAGCTGTGAATGGGAAACCTCTTCGAGGGCTTTTATATCAGGTACCAGGCAGTACTATTACTGAGGCTCTGGATGGATAACAGGTTAATAAAGACAATGAGATAAAACTGTATTTAAACTTCATTGTCACCAGGGGGTGGCAGAATTTGCATATAATCTGATTTCTTTGTAGGATTCTTCTCTAGAACCCTTATGGAGAATTTTCTTCTAAAAAATTCTTAGAGAGAATTTCTTCTGCTATTTAATTCATAACGTTCTACCACTAATGCATGAATTCTATTGTTAGATGCACACCAGTTGTTAATTAGTTGGAATCTTTGTTGCTGCTACGCATGATTGGAGCATTTTCCCCTTGTGGATCATTTGTGCTTTGTAATGTCATGCAGATTCAAATGTCCCAGATTCAAATTTCCACCAGGTGAGGCAAATCCAGTGTAACTTTTTTACCTGGAATGAAAAATTCCACACTTACATGAAGAAATTAAATGGTAAAAGTAGGCTACATATGGATTTATTTTTTTTCATCATAATATGGCAGTTTGGGGAGCTGTGCTGATGTAATTGACCGAAGATGTGTCGCTGCCACATGTGGTTTGAATGAATTTGTCAGAAAATTCTGTTTTTCTTCAAGAAAGAAAATTAATTAATTTAAACCTATGTATCTGTTGGTGGAACAGAGGTTTGTAAACAAAACTAACTTTACTTGATAACCAATTAACTAGATACATGTTCCCATATAAAATATAACAATATATGACAATCCTTCAGTAGAAAATTTTGGCCCTCAGAAACTGCTGAGAGGCACAAACACCAGGAATTTGGCATTCACAATAAAAAATGTCTTCCTCTCAGTTGGTAAAATGATGTGTACTATTGACTGTGTTCCATCAGAAATATTATTCCTTTCTGCTTAGGATGTCCTGCACTTGTTGAGAGGAGCTCCTCGAGAAGTCACACTGCTACTCTGCAGACCACCAAAAGGTGTTCTTCCAGAAATAGAGCAGTTTGCCCTGGTAAGGCAAAGCTTCTGACAGAAACTTCTGTAAACCTGGAAAGGCACTACTATCCAATTTTGAATAAGGCAACCTTCCCTTTTCTCCAAGGCCCTCTATTCCATTTCTTTCCCTTCCTGGCTTCAACTCAACCTCTAGAGTTCAATTGATATTTCCTTAGCAAACAAAATAATACAAATCTGGCAGATGTGAAACATATTTATCCCAGTCCAACAACTTTTGAGTTGCAGTACTGTCATTGGAATGAAACAGCACATACCCAAGCAGGTCTTCTAGTGGTGGTTCTAAAAATGTTCTATTAGATCCTCAGCCAGAAGCTATTGTAACTCACAGGCTTGGAGTAGCTATATTACTCTCAAAAGTGAGAGGAAACTAAAGAGCTTTCCCTATCCAGACTATCTCTTAATGAAGTTAAATAAATGAAATAATGGTTTCAGCAGGTTATCCAGCTTCCTACTGAGAGTTAACAGTCTGCAGGGGGAAGAACAAAAAACAAACAAAAAACCCCCAAACAGTAGAGACTGCAGAGCTAAAACAGTGCCATTGGATGTGCTAGCATTATTATTCCTGCTTCTTGAACACAACTCATAGACACATACACAAGTACTTTTAAAATGAACATGCATTTGCATTACTCATGCTCCATGCAGAATGGCCTGTTTATGGTTCCTGTCCCACTAGGATTTATAGCAGTCCATGGACAGACAGAAATGACTGTCAGAACCATCTCCAGATAACAAACTGTCTCCTGTTGCTCCCCTGCAACATGTCCTTGGCTGATTTCTATGGTCAGTTGCAGAAGGGTCAAGTCTGGAAGCTACTTCTACAGATTGAAGAGCACATAGACAGAGCATTGAGGAATGAGATGAACAGAAATAAATAAATAAAAAAAAGGAACCTCTAGAAAATAATTCATTGTGAACTCATGCAGTAGTTCCACCTGGCACTTCTGAAGAAGGTGAAAGATAAGCATAAAGACAAAAGAGTTCTTTAGTGAGAGAGTACCTCCCTTACACTTTTCTCTCCCTTCCAGCTACCATTTGATATTTTCCGATTCAGAAGCTTATTAATGTTGCCTTTTCAAAATATTTTGCTCTTAAAGGGAAAATGATAGGATATTAAAAAGGAGTTACACTAAACTTTCTGTTACTTTGATAGACTCCAGCACCATCTCCAGTCAAGGAGTTTGTGGCAGAAATGCCAGGTGGAAACAGTATGGATCAATCTACCAGTGATGGAGGTAGTACCTCTCCAGACCTGGAAGACTGCCTGGATTCTCCAGTGGCAGAAGATTTCAGTGAGCCTCCTGAAGATGACAGCTCAGCTTATGAAGAGCAGGAAGCTGAGTTTCAAGGGAAGACCATAGAGAAGCTCACGACTTCCAGGGAGATCTTCTATAAGCATCTTTGGAAGTTTCATCAAGAAGCTTCCAGTTCTGAAGTATTACACTCCCTAGAGGAAGAAATGAAGCAGAACTGCTACTCACCATGTGAATTTGGACAGGTCAAAAGGTAGGAAATACCAAAATCTGCTCTGCAATATTTCCTTCGACTCTTAGAATTCTGAAAATGAATTGCTGAGGTTTAAGTACAGGGGCCTCTGCTTCTAATCACTACTGATTACTGAAGATTTTGTTTTACCATCTTATTCTGACTCTCCTAATCTGCTTTCCCTATTTACTGTCATTTTCTTAGAATTTTGCATAAGTATGCATTGCAAGACTGTTGTTACAAGTGCTACACTACTGTAATCATTTATGTTGTTCAGCTGAATCTGGTTGCCATTTGAAATTAGTGGAAAGACTCTTGACTTAAATAGGAAGCAAATACTTTCTTATTTATTATATAATTTTTTTATTTCAACCTTTTTCAGAATTGACTTAACCATGAAATTTTTTTCTTATTGTGTGATCTTTTAATTTAAAATTTTTTTCATAGGAATTAAAAAAAAAAATCAGAAGACAAACTGTGATCAAGGAGAAAAAAAAAGGTTATTTTCTGTTTTCTGATCTTCACAAGCCAATAGCAGCCCTGAGACAGAGGAATTATACAATAAAATACAGTGCAAATGGATTCAGTCTCCTTTTACACTCTTTTGGATCTATCAGACACTGGTAAACAGAAGACAATCCATTTAATTTTCATCATCTTTCCCAGTGCACAAGAATATAAATTATCAGAACAGAAAAGACTGGTGCAAAGACAAATTAAAGGTCTTCTACTGGCCTTTAACTTACAACTTTAGTAATTTTATTGAAAACTAATTTCTATTTTTCCACACAGTCTCTTGAAATCTTTTTGTTACTTTTAACACTCATCAAGCACAGAATCAGACAGATATTCCGGTGTCTAGGAAGTTATTGCACTAGGTGACTGAAAGTCAGGTGGGGCCATAATGGCACTTCATAATTTTAGCTTCTCTTTGTTGAAAGGACAAGCTTCACTTGATTAATGAATGAAGCTCCTGCTTACAAATCTGCTTCTCTACTGCTGAGAGCAAAACCAGCAGAAATACGTCTGTAGCAAACATATTTGCTAAGAAATACAGATTCATCAAAACTACATTTATTGTGGGAAAATATCAATTCCAAGAAAAGTTTTGGATTATTTCCAAGAAGGAAGTTCTGAAGTAAATGTTTTTGTTTGATAGATTTTCATTATTATTTAGTTTCAGCTTTTGCATTTTCAAAAGGCAGCCAGAGCAGTTTAAGATGGTATACATTTTAAACAATATTTTAAACATCATCTCAGTCTAAATGATCCTTCCAGCTAAAAACACACAACTCCCCCAGAAGGAAATAGGCTTTAATAAAGGAATTCCTTTTGATTAATGAAGAAATTTCTTCAGATTGCTCAAAACATTTCATGCAAGTGTATAAATCTTCTGATATGAATTTTAGAAGTTCCCTGCTCAGAGTTTCACATGGAAAATTCCTTTCACTCTTTGTCACCATCAATAAGAAAAAACTTCAGCCCATAGCTTCCTCTGTGAAGTCCTGTGTAGGGGTCACAGGACTCCAAAAGAAATTCAAGCATCTCAGCGGAGCCCATGTGTGGGCCTGCAGAACCAAGACTCGTGTTATTTCCTGTGATGATATAGAACTGTGGTAGAAGCTGTGCTATGATTATGCCACTCGCTGCTGGCTTGTTGCCTTGAGCTTGTGTAGCTCTGCCAAACACCTTTCACACCCTCTGAAGGTCAGTCAGCACTTCACTAGCACTTCACTATGACATCCACTTGGACCAACGTCCGTTGAACACACTCTTTTCTTTCCTCTCTCCAAAAGAAAGGAGCAGACTGTATTTGTGGCTATCCATAAACATTTCTTTTAATTATCACACTTTTCTTCCACACTATTCTAAGTATCTTGTCCAGCTATTAAAGTAGAAACTGTCAACCTCATTCTCATCTTCCCTGTGCTACTGGAGATGTCCAGCTTCTCATTTCCTCCCTGCACAGACACATGCTACCAGACTAGATCGCTTCCCTCACTGAGGGCATACAGCACCAGCCCATTCGTTTTCTTTACTTCCATCAGTATTTCAAAAATACCATGGAAGGCTCCTAACTACATCCAACCAAAGTGCATGTTTTGCTACTCTGTTTTACAGTTTCCTTCTGACTATAGACAACTTTTGAATCAAAAGCTTAACAATGGGGATCTTCTGTGATTTCATACAAGAAACGCAATTAGTTTTTCTTTTAGTTGTCTGTGTTTGCTTGGGAGATGGTAACTCATTTTTATGAAAGAACAAAAGATCCTGGGTGACTTATATAAGAAATGACACGGCATTAATAAAAGCTATGCCATTTTAAGTGTTTTTAAGATGAATGAGGTTTAGCAATATTTCAATAAGGATAGATATGAAGAAAACCTACTTCGAAAAAAATGGTATTTCAAGCATTTTTATGAGCTTTAATGATTAATTTAATGGGAGACAATGTCATAGCACTTTATTAGGGTTCATTTATGACAACAGCCAAAACGATATTAAACACAACATATATGATTACAGTCTGGGCTGGAACATCAAAAGTGCTGAATACTTTGTCTGCAATATAGTAGAATTAAATCAATAATAATTTTAGTTCTAGTAGTTGAATAAATCCATTGATTTCTGTAGGACAACTTTTATGCTTCAAGGCTTACAGAAAGAAGTTAGGACTTACATTTTTCATGGAGAGATGGGAATCATTTCATATTTCATGTTTCTCGTCTTTGCTCAGATACCAAGAAAGACCAGTAGAAACCAGAAATGTGGTTATCATTCCTTTTTCAAGAAAAATGAAAATATAAAAATTGTAGTAGTATTGTAATGTGCATACCACCTACCAGAAAAGTTAATTTGTTTATGGAAGATGAAATAATAAGTAATTTGGGCATTGTCTGATTCTTTTTTTCAAGAAACAACACAAGTATGAACTAATGCCTCAAAAAAAAAAGAGTGTAATATTTTGCAAAGGCAGTTTTTGTATTATGAAAGCTTTTTAATCTTTCAAGTAGCTTAGCAAAATATTGATTTTTTCCCCATTTTATACTAACATTGAAGAATTCAGACAGCAATTCAATATCATAACTACTACTTCAGTTAAAGTGAAAATAAGGTCATGCATAAGCAGTAGACTTTTCAGTGGCCATTTAATAAAGCATATGGAGGAAAACCCCAGTACTGCAATCTTTTTATTTTCCAGCCGCGTATTTAATAAGAATCATGATGACCTATCGAACACAAAATGTATGCCTGAAACTCTCTCTCTAACCCCTATTGATGAAGAGTATCTCACTGTCAGCTCAATGCCTGTGGCTCCACTTTCACGAGGAGGAAGCTTTGAGACTCTCTCTGCAACCACTGCGACCCCACAAGCACGTGTTTGTGGTCCCTTATCATCATCCCCACCTGCCAGAGAGACACATGACAGTGACAATGAATGGGAAGACTTGGAGGAACCAGAGGAAGAGAAGGAAGAAAATGAAGATTGCACTCAGGTTTGTGATAGGCACCAAATCATTAACCAGTAGAATACAAGGGAAAAGAAACAACTTTAAGAGTGTTACATTCTTAAACATTACTTTTAACTTATTTTCTATGCTATTTCTACATGAATTTTTTTTTCTTTCCTGAATATCCACAATCTTCAAGTAAAGCAGACCTTCCACTAAGTCTATCTCTCCAGAATTCTTAACTATTTGCCTTAAGGCCATTTCCTTGGTCTTTACATCTTACTATTTCTCCAACTTTCCAGCATTTTGCAGTATTATTCTCAGTGTACAAGGGCTTCAAAGTCCTCTAGTAGCCTCTAAAATTAATTGGAGTCAGCTACTTGGGTTTTTTCTGTCATCTTTAAAGCCCATGTGGAAAATCACTTTGTTACAGTGATATTACTGTAATGTTCTGATAAGAAAGTATGATTTTTGTGCTAATTACTATTCAAAATATAAGGCTCAATCTCCTGCCAAATGCGGAACATCTTGCATTCCTACTGACTAATGAGCTTTGAATTCCTATTAATTTGGGAGCACTGTGGACAAAATTTAGCTCCATCCATTTCCTTCAGTGGGACAGTAATAGCAATGACAACAATAATCTTTGCACCCTCCTATTGCAACACTTGTCAGCTCAGAGGACTCCAGGCCTTTCTTTACATATTTCAAAAGCAAAATTCCAGGCCCAGGTGGCATTCTCTGCCTTATTAGGCCCTATCAATCAATCAACATGAAACTCCACAAGGTAAAAAGAAGGAAAATTAATTCTGGAACATAGTCAGAGAAACCCTTATGTATACTCTTGTTTATACCGCCTGAGGATCTGATTCCTATCTGCATATAAAACATAATGGAAGATGTTAATAAAGCAACAGAAAAGCCTACATCAAACATATCTTGTGCGTGTTTTTAATAGGAAACGGAGATATTTGTGACTTTGACCAAGTCAGAGAACAACGGGTATGGATTCTCTGTAGTTCTTAACAAAGTGGATACCTGCCTGTATGTTGATGAAATCTTGAATGACCCTGCTCTTTCTGATGGAAGACTGAGAAGGGGAGACAGAATCATTATGGTACAGTAACTGTTGGAGTTTATACAGAGGAGAAAATATTTGCAGATCAATCTCATTTAGCTTTGGCATTCTTCCTTTGGTAGCATCCAGTTTATCGCACATTAAGGTATGCCAGTGCAAATTAATCATATAATAAACCTAATTCTGCTGACTTCAGTTGGATAAATTTCAGACCAAATAGATTTTATGACCAGGCAAATTACATGAATCATCTAGCACCAACGCAAGACAAATGAGACATTAAATGCTTTCCCAATTAAATGACATAAACTGAATTAGTGTAATAAGATAGGTGACGTACAAAGGATGCAGGAGTTATGTCCTTTGTAATGTATGAATAAACCCTTTTTTTTTCCAGCCTGGTTCATGTACAATTTGTTGCATTAGACTCTCTTCCTTGTTTTTTTGCAAGAAGACCTTGAGTTTCAAGAAAAAAAAAAAAGCTATTTTTATGAAAGCTCTGTATTCAGAAATATAAAAGTTCAAGAAGGAAAACTTACTGCAATTTTAACTGTTGCATTCACTGAAATGAATACCACAGCAAAGCAGTAACATGAAAGTGAAAACCAATTTAAGTTCATATGCAAAACTAGAGTGGAGGGACAAGTACATGATTATCAATGAGATCTATGACATGATTTTCCTTGTTTGTCATTTAGGTGAATGGAATTGATGTCACATCTTTACCATGCAATGAAGTCCTGACTTTACTGCAAAGCTCTCCTCCTGATCTGCACCTCGTGGTTGGTCGTGCTGACAATGATCCACATCCCTCTATTAGGCCAGATGAGATTCCTGTAATTACTCTCACAAAAGGTGCCAATGGACAGCTAGGTGTGTAGTAAATACTGTGCTTTCTATTTTGGACGGGGATTACAGCAATCATAAGATAACCATAAGCAACTGTGGTCTTGGATCAATATGATTCAGAGTGACCTTGACACCTTTATGGTCTCTGCCATCACCCATGAGCTTTATTTTGAGCAAGGCCTAAGAGGGAAGACTCTTATTAGACCAATGAAGAGAGTTGGAAAAATTATCTTTGCATTATCACCCTATCAGCTGAAGTTTCTGGCTGACCTTCAGTCTCATATTTTTATGTTACTGATATACATAAGTTGTGGGCAGTTAGATAATAATGTCTACTACCTGTGGAAATACATAAAGATCTATTTGGAGAGAAAGAAAAAAAAAAGAAAAAAGGTAAAGTTTGAGAGGGATGAGCCACAGGTTAGGGCTACATTTTGCTACTCAAAAAATCTCCACTCAAATCCTTGATTCACCACAGGCATAAGGCATTGTGCAATACAAATGATAAAAGGAAATCCCCACAATGTGAGTATCTTGGTATTTCTGCAGAATGTGGTGAGTACTGGACACAGATAAAACTGTAGTCTCAGGAAACAGTATGGCTATCTTTGCTCAGGTACTATATCCTGTTTTCAGGTGAGAAACTACTTTCTTCAGAGATTCCTTGAATGTCACTGCACCGTTCAGACTTCCATTGTATAGGTATCTCCTCAGTTGTCATAGGCCTCCATTCCCTATCTGAAGACTGTGAGGCACTTAAGTGCTCTGGTAATGAGGGAGTTACTGCTATGCAGCTGAGAGTCCTATTGAAAAGATTATTGAACATCAGGTGAAATAAAGCACTACGGAATCACTGAAGCATAGAGATGGACAGCATCATTTAAGTTTTTCCATACTTTTTCTAACATCTAATGGCATTTCACTCTCAGTCCAGCTTGTATACCCCATCTTATTGGGGCAAGACTGTTGTTTATAAAGTCAGTGATTTATTCAGCCTATATTTCAATGACTCACATCAATTCCGCTAGACTTTATGTCGCTGACAGTGAAATTCAAAGCACACTGCCACAAAAGATGCTTTCTCTGCATTATTCTAGGCTTGAAGCTGACAGGAGGAGCTGGAAGCAAGTTACAAGGTATTTATGTGCTAGAGATAGTGCCCGGCTCTCCTGCCAGTGTGGAAGGCAGTTTGCAGCCACGAGATCAGATTGTTTACATCTGTGGACTATGGACTGAGGGCATTAGCCTGGATGATGCAGTGAGAGTGTGTGAAGCTGCCACGCAGAATGTTCAAATCAAAGCCACAAGGTAAATCTGTGCATACTCGATCTCAGTCCTAATGGTGAAGCAGGTTTCTAAATTTTTACATCAGCAAGTCAATCAGCACAAGACAAACTACAAGAAAAATGCTTTATCTCAAAGGTCTGAATTTTTCAACCTGATAAATAACATTCATAAAATATCTTAACTCCATGTAACTACAACTAACACAGCGAGTACAAGTAGACTCACACCACAAATGAGAACTCTTCAAATTTCATCGTCCAAATACAAATGTGAACCTTTAACTGTGAGGCTGACCACCATTTTCATGTATCTCATTCTCTAGGGAAAATCTTTATATTTACACTACTTGCGTCAATCTTCTCCATACAGTCTCAGATACACAACTACAGGCAAGAAACTACCTCTGATGAGAAATTCTGAGTTCCTTCTAACAGCCAAACATTTTAGTTAGGTACTAAAAATGCAGCATTTAATCTGCAGCATGTAACAAAAAGTCATCCCAGGCTTAAACAACAACCTACAGTAATGGATTTCCCTCATTAGTTCATGGCTGCAGTTTAGATTAATTATGTTCCACAGTCTGGTATAGCACCAGCACAGGTCCTGCAGCCATACAGAAATAGCTTTCAAAGATCTCAGAGGAGCAGTCAAATATTAACCCAAAAGCATGTGAAAAACTAAGTTACATAACCAGAATGAGTGATAGTATGGCTGTCATCTCTGTTTCAACATAGTTCAAACCTTTATCAATGTTTTATTAACTTTCACTTGTCTAGTAGAAGAAATTGCCGCCTCATTACACTTAGTCAGTAGGTAGCACCCTCTGATCATCAGAATTTACATTCTAAGGAGACAAATAGGAGAAACAGGGTAAAAGAACTTAAAAAAGAGCATTCCCACTTTATAAAGAAGTAACCGAAGCTGAATTCCAAATGTACCAGAAAGCAGTTCTGTTTTGGCACAGGTGATTTAACATTCCCATTTCCCCCAAACCCACTTAAATAAAATGTTTCACTACTGTTAAATAAAATAAAATATTTTATATACTGATATAAATGCTCTTTAGAAAGGCACCATTTACAAAATCATAGAAGCACAACTACAATTTAGACAACTACCTTTCTAAAAATAATTTTAATATGTGCTTTACGAAGCATGCAGCTCTTAATGGCTCACATATTTCACTTTTTCTGCCCTCAGAAATGGCAATCCAGTGGTTCCTATAGAGCAGGAAAATAGTAAGTAAGGCTAATATTTTTGGGTTTTAGTTCAAAACTTGCTTCTGATTTTGAAAATAAGCATAAACTCTTGATTCATTGCATTTAAAAAGCTATTAACAGATTGTAATTTGGCATTCAGTATTTCTGTTACAGCCATTCTAAGGTTCTGAAGAAAATTCGGTGGCTATTTAAAGACAGAAATAAAATGTATAGTTCTCTGTAAAAAAAATAATTTGTTGCATTTTGCATAGTCTGTTTCTATTTCTAATTTGTTGTTATTAAATGGGAATTTTATGTGGTCATATTTCAACATCTGTTTTGACTGAAACTATTCTTTAACAAGTTTTCTACCCTTTTTGAGCCACTGTTTACTATGAGCCACTACTTCATCATCTAGCCCACCTTTCAAAACTGTTATCAATAAACTATAGAAAATCAGAAAGAGGCAGAACCAATATTTCTCAGTTAACATAAGAGCATTCTTGTCAGGAGATATTCAATACTATAACTGATACAAAACTTCAGTATACATCTTCACTACAAATACTTGACCAGTATTGCTCTAGCTGTAGAAAGACCCTCAGCAAGCAGAGGTTGCATCTGCACCATCAGGTGGAAGGATAGGTATCATATCTAGGTCACCACATGCAAAGTGTGTTACCTATGAAAGTAGGAATTCCAGTGTACATTTGGCTGCAGGATTAAGTCAGGCCTAACCCCAGTTTCATTTACCTGACTGGATATTTGAATTTTTTAATTTTTTAATCACGCAAAGATGATCTCAAAAAGTAACCCTGGACCAGAATTGTTCACATGCCTACACTCATCTGAATACTGGCATATGGTTACCTGAAGAAATTATTCCAAGTCAAGCTAGTTACAGATTTCCTACTCTACCACATGTACCCATGTGTTTGTTTCTATCAGCTGAAGCGGTTTACCAGAAGACATAAATAAAGCTTTGTGTACTCTCAGTTAATGTGGTATAACTAAAGCATGGCAAATGTATATCCTGGTAGGACCTTGGTTATACAGCCTTGCTCCGTGAGCTTTGCAGATTTGAAGATTTCTCAAGACACCTTCAGAATAAGTAACCAGGTCTGATCCACCTCTGATACAGAGTTATGAACTCTACACCGGTACAGTTACCTGCCTCTCTTACACAACAGGATGTGTAAGGTCCTGCACCTGGGTCGGGGCAATCCCAAGCACAAACACAAGCTGGGTGAAGAATGGATTGAGATCAGCCCTGAGGAAAACCACTTGAGGTGTTGGTAGATGAGAAGCTCAACATGACCCAGCAATGTGCACTTGCAGCCCAGGGATCCAACCATGTTCTGGGCTGCATGAAAAGAAGAATGACCAGCAGGTTGAGGGAGGTGATTCTGCCCCTCTACTCTGTAAGACCCCACCACAAGTGCTGCATCTGACTGTGGGACCCTCAAGAAAGAAGTGAGTCCAGAGGAGGACCATGAAGATGATCAGGGGGCTGGAGCACCTCTCCAATGAAGACAGGCTGAGAGAGTTGGGGTGTGTTCAGCCTGGAGAAGAGAAGGTTCCATGAAGACCTCACAGCACCTTCCAGTATCTAAAGGGGCTACAGAAGAGCTAGAGGGACTTTTGACAAAAGCATATAGTGACAGGATAAGGGGGAATGGCTTCAAAGTGAAAGAGGGCAGGTTTAGATTAGATATTAGGGGAAAAGTCTTTACTGTGAGGGTGGTGAGACACTGGAACAGACTGCCCAGGGAAATTGTGAATGCCCCGTACCTGGAGGTCTTCAGGTCTAGGCTGGATGAGGCTTTGAGCAACCTGGTCTAGTGAAAGGTGTCCCTGCCCATGGCAGAGGGTGGGAACTAGATGGTCTTTAAGGTCCCTTCCAACTCAAACTCTTCTATGATTTTTCTCTTTTAAAAATCTTTAAAAAATCTACAGTACTGTGGTATTTGATGTTCTGTTTGCTATCATCACTGATAGATTTATAGAGAAATCTGTAATAATTTGTTATTAAGAAAGCAAGCCTTCATTTTTATAGACTCTCATAATTATAAAAATGCATACTAAAATTGCAACTGCAACAGGTAGCTTTTTTTTAAACAACAGAACATTCATCATTTTCTATAATTCACATATTAAGAGTACTTTGTGGAAGTCAACTAAGATCACCAACATATGATAAAGCAAAACCTCAAAACTGGGTGTGGGTGGGTAGAGGTGTGTTTCTTTGTCTGCCTGATCATTGCCACATGTTTAGAATGATTCAGTCTATTCTCTGATTGTTGTTACAATTTTTAAAACAGCAGTGGCAGAGATGCAATATCTCTGCAATTGTTTATATCCATATGCAAATTGGCAAACTTAATCACGCAGTAGTAAGTGTCTCAAATTGCCTTGTATACTATCAATATTGGATTTTGAAGCTTTGTTTAATAATCTAAGCACAAGGTTTACATTCCCATGTGTAGATGAAGGGTAGCAGGAGGCCTGTCAGAACAAACATACCTGTATGTTTTCAGGGCCACTGGCTGAGACAGAGAAAGCCAATATTTCTTTGTCAAATGAAAACCTGAATTCCAGAGAACAGCATCTGTTGCATCAACATGGTAAGTAACTTTGCATTTTTCAATTAGAATTTGTAAAATTTTATGCCTTCTCTAAAAGAAACTAAGTCTCTAGGTGGTACTGGCAGCACCTGGGAAAGATTAATGCTTCATAAAAAACCCGCCTTCTTTGGAGTTGCAAAGAACCTTTATACCTGTTGTCCATCTGGTGTCTTAGATGCTATAACACGCAGCTTTTAAAGCTTGTTTTGGAACCTGCTCACAGAAAGGTAAAAAGTCTCCAGGGATAATGCACAGAAGGCTCAGTTCACAGTTCAGGAGTTTGAGCCCACAGAAATCCACCAGATTTTTTTGTATGTCATATATCAAATATAAAATGTTTTATTATGTCTCTGAGTAAGATTTTGAGTGTTATACCATAGAACAGTTTACCAGTACAACTACGTAAAAATTACTGCTGCTTTTTTCACAGAGAAACATTTGGAGGAAACAAACTGTGGTGCTGAGCAAAACACTCCTGATTCTCCAGAATGTAAAGTAAGTGATAACTTTAAGTGCGAGATGGTCAATCAAATGAAGTGGGCTATACAGAGGGGAGGTTTTTTCAATAGTGGTATTTAATGTATTTTCTTCCTCTCCAGTTTCTTTGAAAATATGAATATAATACACTTGGAGAGTGTACTTTGAAGTATGGAATTGCTTCAGCATTCATGGACTAGAATGTACTAAGCACTTCCTGGGGCCAACTCTTCTGTTGCTGTTTTTCAATGCTTAGAAAAGAAAGTAGCACAGGAAAAAGACACAGAATGTCATAGCATGGGATTCTTGGGAAAACAGGTGTAATTGTGAAACATTTTCCACAACAATCTTTGAAACCTGAGAGTAAACCCAGGGGATGGTTGGGCACTGTAACAGACTCTCTGGGGAAGTGGTCACAGCACCAATCCTGATGGAGTCCAAGAAGCATTTGGATGATACTCTCAAGCAGATGGTGTGACTCTTGGGGATGGTCCTGTGCAGGGCCAGGAGTTGGACTCCATGATCCTTGTTGGGTCTCTTCCAACTCTGCATATTCTGTGATTTCTGTGATTGTGTGATTCTGTAATAGGTTTCATTCTGAAATTACCAGATGGACATTTGAAAAGAGGGTAAAATTACCCCAGCCCTTGGACTATTATGCAGCACTGACATAGATCATAATGGTTTGAATTTGGCAAGAGGAATGCCATTTTTGAAATTATGAATTCCTAAAATACACAGGAATTTTTCTTCAGGAAAATACCAACATTCGGTGCTTCAAAATTCTTACAAGTCCAAACATAATTTCTGTTTGTGAAAACACATGCAAAACAATGTTAATTGAAATTATCTACATGGACTGATATTTCATGTGAATAGATGTACTAGTTTTCTCTTGATCATGGTTTGCAAAAAAGGCTGCCTTTTGTTAAAATTAGACCTCCAACCTGGCAGAAAAATTGCAACAATTTCCTCACTTTTGATTAAGTCATCCCTATTACTGCTTCTTCTGCACCATTTAATCCATGATGGTTTATCTGTTCAACTTGCAAAAATAATTTCCAAGATTGATATTTGTGACATTGGAACTAGTCATGCTGCAAGTCCTAAACATTTCTAGTTTGCTGCTATTTCTGACATAGTACTTGACCCTAAAAAGGCAGCTGATTTTAAAACCAAATGAAGTGCTAAAGCCAAAGAGGTGGAATGTAGAGGTTGCAAGATTAAGATTTTCATTATAGAACAATAAAAGAATGAACTATGTACTGCATTAATGTCACGCTGGAGATCGGAGTGCCTTGTTTGTCAATGACGGTGATTTATTTGAAATATTATAAAAGGATTATAGAAGCACACATTTCTTTGCTCTTAAGAGGTTATTTTCCCCAGCAGCAATTATTAAAAAGATTATGAAAATAGTATGTACTATTTTCATTCTGATACATACATGGAGCTGCTATGTTGATCCCTGGAAGCTCTATACATCTATTCAAGACTAGGATATATCCCATAATCTACATCAGCCAGTGAAGTATAATGGGATTTCTTGGTAATAAAAATGCAAAAAAACCACAGCCCTGAATAAACTCCACTTTAGACTGCATCCTTCTCTGTTGTAGGACTTCATTATTAAGATCGAGCTGGAAAAAGCAGAAAATGGAAGCCTAGGATTTGCACTGGTAGGTGGAAGAAATGGCAGGGCCATCCTAATAAAAGCCATCAGCCCAGACAGCATTGCAGACCTAGATGGGAGGCTTCAAGTTGGTGACATTCTACTTAAGGTAATGCTTGTTCTTCATTGCTTTGGCCTCCATTTTCTCTATATAGTCTATAACGAGCCTCTGTTCAGTATAAAGATTGTGCATATTGGAAATCTGGTGCTGCTTGGCATGGTAATATGTAGAAGGTGATGTCCCTCACCTCCTGATGGTCAGAGAAGTAGGGGCCCCTACTTCTTTCCTAGAGTTCAGCCTCCTGTGGGACTGGGCCTCTCCACAGCTGGCAGTTGGACACTCCAGCAGAGGCAGACCCAGAATAGCAAAGCAAGCAGTAAACTGTAACTACACCATACTGTATTTGTGCCCACTGAAGATTACAGATGAAAAGATCAGGGAAACAACTGTTAGCTGACCAAGCCTGCATGTAACAGCTAACCATGGGGACACTGGGAAGAACCTTCATGATGCCAGTTAGGTATTATGAAGAGAAGCAAAGCTGAATACAGAGATTTTGATTATTTATTTAAAATCTTACTATCCTAACCACCTTACCTTACCACCTTTTAATATAAATCATCCTTTTTTTTTTTTTTTTACCTCAAATTATTTTTTCTTCCCCCTCCAGGAGTTTCAGTATTTTCTCTTTGCTTTTCTGTTTTTCACTTACTTCCTTCGCTTCTCCATCTTCTGTCTGAAGAATGGGGGAAACACTGTCCTCTTACTGTCTCAGACTGTACTTTTGTGGTGTCCTGCTGGCAATTATACTATAAGACGTAGAGAGGAGAGGATCAAGCAAAAACTGGAGAAAATGAGGGCACATGAAGTGCAAAGAAGTTATGCAAAGATTGCTCAAGGCTAGGATATGTGATCAAAAAAAAATCTTTCTGTTACAGGAATCTGGAAATACAAATCATTGTGTTTTTCAGGTGAATGAGACTTTTGTCTCTGGTCTGCCACGCCAAACAGTTACGGATTTGCTGCGCAAGGCTCAAGGAACCGTCCAACTCACAGTCTGTCGAAGTGTGGCTTTGCACTGGGCTTATTCAGGCAACCAGAGTAACAGACCTTCCCCCACAAACACAAAAGCAGAGCCTGGTAAGCAGCTACATCCACTCAGTATATGATAAAAGAGGGATTATGTGTTGCCTGAACTCATATTTCCTATTAGCAAAACAGTTCAATTTTGCAGTTAGTTTGATTCATAGCTGTAGATACAAACACATTCTTCACCTTGATCTGCAGCACTGTCTAAACTATTCAAGACACAGGACCACAGGAAAGGAATATCCAAGTGTGATTTTTAAGTCTAGGAACAGTGGAAGCAAAGCTGCAAGGCCCTCAAAAATGCTTTAACTCAGCTTGTGTTTTTTAGTCACGAATCCTGGTCTGATTTTACCTCATTTTATACAACTCACTGATGGAATCACAGCCAGCTGCTAAAATACATTTCCCAATAATTCACATCCCACCATTCCTACATTCCTACTACACCTCCTGTTCTGTCTGGCAGACAATTTCTCTTCTATGCTTATTCTTGATCAAATCCAGAAGCCTCTGCTCCCAGGTTGATTGTTATTAATTTGAGAGCACACCCATCTTGCACAGGGCAGTACTAAGAGAGCTGACTAACTCTATGGAAGAAACTTGTGCTCTATGCTCTGCTCTACTGAATACTCAGAAATTAAACACTAATTAAAGCTGAGAGTGGAAGCAAGGATATAATATTACCAATAGATTGTGGTCCTCAACTTCCTATTTCTTTGAATACTGAAATGTTTCCTGTAATGTGGACAAACTCCAGTGGGAAGCATATAGAATTCCTCCTTCTGACCTGCTGGTTACAAACTGGAGCCTCTCTTTCAAGTATTCTCAGTCAAGAAGACACTGCCATTGCTATTTTCATCTTACATGACATCGGTGAATTACACAGTTTCTGAGAAGTTTAAACTGATTTCCTGGACCAGCAAAACCCAGTGGTATTATAGAAGCACTGACACCAAAGTTAATCTATGGTATTTGCCCCTTAGCACTGCAAAGGAATGGGCTGGGTTAGGGAGGGCAGATTTAAAGTCTGTTTCAGTTTTTTTATTTATAACTGCTGTTTATACAGGGCTGTACTTCAGTGTATCTTTCAAGTCTGAATTATGCTGGCTTCTTCAGTGGTGATACATGGTATTTGTGCTGTACTAACCCTCTCAGACCATCCATGAAAGGGATATTCCATGCCAGTTTCTTACACTTATCTCAGTGCCTCTTCCAAGGTCAAAGTCCTTTGATGTAGCTGTCAGAGAAGATCTGTGGATCTATATTTTCACACATTTTGTTTTGATTTTGCTTTCTGGTATTCAGCTAGCGCTGAGGAAAGTCTGCGAGCTCAACCTGTTTTCAGTTTCAAGGAAGAAGGCTCCAACCAGATGTGCAGTAAGGTAAAATTGGAGAAGTTATCAGAAGTTATTGGGCAATGTACTCATATGTTTGTTTACAAAATGGGTTTGCTGCAATGTGGGCAAGAACCACACTTTCTTGTTGAAAAAAGATTAATGTGAGGGAAATGTGCTGCAATGACTGGAGCTGCTGACACTGGAGTGAGTCAGGGAATTCAACTGAAATAAGAGCATATTATTAATATAATACATATGCAAAATGGTTGGGGGGAAGGAAGGTTGCATATGCAAGTCCTGTTCTGATTCTTTATAATACTGAAATAAATAATTTATTAATTTTACTATCCTTTCAGTATTTCTAAAGTATATACATTAAAAGATTTCTATTCAATTGTCTTTCACTAATATTCATGAGTCCAAGGCATCTAAACTTCAAACATGGTTATGTTTTGAATCTTAATAAGTCCACAAAAACATTCCACATCAAATTTCACAATATTTCTAAGTTCACAACTGTAAAGCCCCTCAGAAAATATGAGAAATTTAGGTCTTCTCAAATAAAAAAACTAAACCCTGATTCAACCAATATAATCAAACTAGAAAAAGTGATAGAAATCCTTGATATGACTAAGCTGAGAAAACCTTGAAGAGGAATTTCTTTGAGGAGGTTTTAAATACAGTGTTGGAATGGGTGTTGGAACCAAACTTTTAGAGATAGGTGAAATTTAATATCAAAACAAGGTCATGTCTAAGATCTGACAAAAAAGTACACCCAAGAAATAATATCAGAAGTAGGAGATAGTGGTAGGGTTACAGGTTCCTTATCAGATCCCTGAGTTATAAGGTATTAAGGCACAAATTTAGTTTTAAAGTGGTTTTAAAGTAAATAGGGTTAAGTCTGTCTAGTTCAGCATAGCACATGCCTAACCTAAAGCACATGCTAAGTGTTTTTGTTGAATTGGTTCCATTAACTCTCTCTTCTTCATTATTTCCAGTTTACCTTTAGCTGTCTCCTATGAATAGAAACTATTTATGCTTTACTTTGTAGAGCACAACTATCATCTACTCCAAAGATGTAGACTTTGAAAATGACAAACTACTGAAAAAATATATATGCAAAAAAGGAGAAGCAGTAAAATACCTTTCCTTTGCAAATTAAAACCAAAAATCAATATAACAGTCTCCAATCTATATAGTCAGAAGGTGCAGAAACCGGGTAGATGAATTCATGGTTAAATAGGCAGCTATGAATGTCCCCATTCTAGTGTGGAAAAACATGCACAAAAGTAAGAAAATATGTATAAGTGGTGGCTACCATTAAGATTCTGTGGGGCATTCACTACTTTATACTGTGTAGTATGCCAGGGCACTTTCTGAGTGCATCTGGAATATCAAACAAGGAAAGAAGAAACACCACTTTGAACTAATATTTAAATAATTTTCTATCACTGTTACAGCTGAAAAGGAACTTCTTTCACATACCAACAGCAGATGTCCTGCATCATTATTTAAATGCAGGACCTAGAATTACTCTCTAGGATGGAAAACCAACCACCAATACTATTGCTTCTACTGCATATGGAGAGTGATCAAGAGTCTGTCTTCTCTGCTAGCTGAGCACTTCTCCAGCAGAGCAGCTGCATCCTACTTCTTCCACTGGCATCTTTGTGTCTGAGATAAAAAAAAGTAAATTATTACCAACAGTTCCATCTCAGACACTGAACATGTGCTTTCTGCTGCCAAGAGCTGGTGAGGAGTGTGACTCCTGATTCCTGTGATTGAATTCTCTTTATGAGATCAAAGAGGATATAACAAATATGAACCTTTTCAAAGTTCATTCATGCATGCTAAGCTGTAGAGATGTCTGAAGACTGTATTGTTCTGAAACTCATAAATGCAGCTGAAAGGGCTTTTTACTCCCAGTAGATATTGCAATACATACTTTCTTCTGAAAGAGGAAACTATTTTCCTTCTTGAGTGAAGGACACATTTCTGTCAGAAATAAGAAAGAATGCTGATGAAAGTAACTATATTCTTGACGTTTCTGTGTACTGATTTTTTCACAGCTGCGGGATCTAGAAAGTACACACAATTCTCTTCAAGGTCAGCTGGCTGGACAAGACTATAGGGATATCATCAGTAACATTTCAGACAGGTAAGTCTTTCAAATGAAGTAAAACTATTAAAATAAATAGTATGGATAATTTATGCTTATATTTCCAGAGCTGTCCTAATAATGGTATGCAAATGCACTCATGTCCCAAACGACAGAAATACAGATCTATTGGAATGCAGCTCCATCTGCAGCAAGAGCTGCTAAACAGCTTCCACACAATTACTAAGACAAATGGAATGTAAGCTTCCAGGTGTAACAGCTCATGAAGAATTGCCTAAACCAGCTTTGGCCTTTCCAGCTGAGGAGGGGAGAGAACAGTGGTAGCACTGCCACCTTAGTGGGCAGGGTCCCCGTGGGTTTTACTAAGAGTTCCAAGCAGATCTTGCAGCCTGGGCTGGACCCTGCGGCACTATGGCTGTAACGATACAGATGCTGAAGTCCAGACATACAAGAATCCAGAGAATTAGAGGATGTTACTCCAAAGCAAGTACATAGTACAAGAAGGGAAGAATTTTACTTCAAATTTTAAATCTTTAAGATAATGGGAAATCTAAGAATAATTGAGTATTGGTAATATGTGGACAGTTTTATTACAATTATGCCAAATATATGAAATATGATCTTTTTTAGCATTTATAACCCAAATAAATGAAAAAAAGGACAAATATTCACATTTAAAACAAAATTTTGTAAAACATTATTTGGCCAATCAATTAGCGATGAAAATCTTCCCTATCTGCTTGCAGAGATAAGTTTTTAAAGTTCTGAGAGCATCTGCAATTGAGAACATCCATGTGAACACAGACTCGATGCCCCTCACTATTAAGTGTACCTTTTACTGTTTCTAACATTATGATCACACATAGGACAGGGTAGTGTAAGACTGTGATATGCTTAAGCCTACTAAAGGGTATCTGAGTTAGTCAGTAGAGGAATATTTAAACCATGCTGCACATGTTATAGCTATATTCTGGATTGCAGAATTAGCTTCTACCTAAAACATATTACAGTGCCCTAAAATGTTCTAAATATTTTAGGAAAAATTAACACTCAAAGCCAATTAAGCTGTAATTGCCTAACAACTGAAATAGGTCATACATGAAAAATTGTCTATGACTGTGGGAAATGTTACTTCCAGTCAACTTTGAGCAGCTTTTTATTCTAAGTATGCTCTTATCTCTGAGAAAAAAACCCCAACAACCACCACATACAATACAAATAATAGTGGTTTTCACCAGCTATAGTTGCGAACAATACTCCAGACAAAATGCTCCTACTACTCCTTGAACTTATGTTCTTTAGAGTTCAGATTAATTCTTGCAAGTAGTTGCTCAAGAAAGTTGAAAGTGATCAAAAATATATTAAACCTAGGATCTTTATACAGTTCAGAGTATCAAAGCGTCTGCCACTTCAACTAACGCTGTTTTACAGGTCACAGAAATATTCAGAATGTGAAGGCTGCAGAAGAGAAAATCATCAGTCTGAGTCAGACAGCTGGAACAATGAAGATGATGTTATGCCCCACAGGATTCCTGTTCTACCTAGAAGTAACCATGCAAAAACTTCTTTTGTTTCTTTAACATTATAGCCCCCCTCCTCCATATATGTACATTGAGAACAACAGTAGTCCCTTGTGCACAAGCTAAGGATTTGCTCTTTGAGTCTCAAAAACCAGGGCACTCAAGACACAATTTTTACCACTTTCACATATGAAGGCATCTCCAAAAGAAGACATACAGCAGGAGCTCTCTTCTATCTCCCTTACTGCTCTCATACGACTTTTCAGAAAAGTAAATTAAACACTTAAACAAAAACGCACAATGAAGGGCCAAATTATATCTCAAGACTTTGTTCCCAGAATCACTGAATTTCACTTCACATAACAACTTCATTAAAACCTCTAGAACTGATGTGCTTAAGCACATACTGAAGCACTTTCACAGCTCAGGTGCCAAAGCCTCTTCGACACCAGAAGAGTTTACAGAGAGAATCCACCTAATTGTTCCTTTATGGAAATTAAACTCTTTCTGCCCCAGATCAGAATAATTTGTGAAAGGAATCACACTCAGGATGCTGCAGTATCTCATAGATTATCTGAAATGCAGGTCTCTCTCTCTCTGCTTCTTCTTGCCCTGTGGAAACAATGAATTGCTGATAACTCTTATCAGAAGCAAACCACAGTTATCTCCCTCAGACTACCAAGCCATGCTGGAGAGCAAACAGAAAATTATAACTGATCTATCATCTACTACCTGCTCAGAGTTCAGGAGTTTTAAATTCCATTTGATCTGGAAGGAAAGAGAGGTATATGGGAAATAGTGTCCTCTGTCTGGAGTGAGGATCTCTCTTCACCGGCACTCTTGAATAGCTAATAGGAACACCCTCACACTTGTGAGAGTCAGAGAACAGAAAGTGAGCAGAAAGTGTCTTAGAAGCTCAGGAAAGGCAGAGGAAAGTTGTAGCCCAGACAGAAACACAGCAAGCACAACACTTTTCTAACAGAGAATAGTGCCAAGTAGCAATGATATCTTACAAGAGGAGAACACAGCATTGCTCCTTGTCTTCAGCCTATAACAAACCCGTGAAACATATAATCAGGTTTTCTTTGAGACAGCTGGCATGTTATTCTTTGCCAACAGTAGCCTATGAATAAAAAAGACAAATTCCATAATTCCCCCCACCTCAAACCATTAATTTTTACCAAACAAGCTACTGTTCTTACTCAACATGGTAACAAAAGTTTTTCCAGTAGAGCAGTGATATTTCCGGAGAGATAATATTTATCCATTTTCTTAATTTGTCAAGTATTGGATCAGAATATGTACTTCAGGATGAGCAACTTAGTAAAACTGAAACCTGACTTTGGTGCATGAAAGGTAGTTCACACCTTTTTTTTTGAAGTGGAGTGTGAGATAAGATGAGAAGAAAAAATATTTTCTAACTTCAGGAAAGAAGAATGTGCAGTGATTATTCCTAGCAGTGGGGTGTGGCAATACTAATTTTCAGGGAAGTGTTGGAAACATGAAGATGATTCCCTGTGAAGATGTAGCCAGTCTCCTATACCAGTATAAAGTTTACAATTCAGCAAGAATGGTTTATTTAGAACAGACTGTATTTAGAAACTGTATGAGGCAATAAGTTGCAACAGTTGGATCTACTTCCAAATAACATGAAATGTAGTGCTGGTTGTATCCATGGTGCTGACTTATTCTTCTTTCTGCTGTGAACATAAGTAAGCCAAAAATATTTTCTCACATTCTCTCACATTTTGCTTCCACAATACAAGCATCAAAATGTACATACCTACTCCAGCTCCCTAGTTTTTTTAGGCCAGGACCTTGCACTATGAACAATTATAATTAAAAACTTCTTGTTTGTTTTTTTTGTTGCTGTGTTTTGGTTTTGTGGTTTTTGTTGTTGTTGTTGATATATAGACAGAACCTTTGCTTCTGGAGATGAGCTGACTCAGTTAATTAACTTGAAACCATCACGGTCTGGACTAGATCCAAGGACTGGCATCACAGGTCTTATTCAAGGCCTTCAGTTGCGGATTGAGAATCAAGAGGTGTTAAAGGAGTTTATGGTAAAGTGTGATTCCTTTTTAAGATCTAACTGTTTAGCACAGCTAAGAAAGTGGGTTTTAATAGCTTTCTTCATACTGCATGGGAGATCAACTTGTATGTCTTTATTCAATCCACTTTCCCTGAGAATTATTCCAGCTAGAATGGGGTTTCTATTCTGCTGTTTGGCAGATACTGAGTATTTGTATCTTCCTCTTTCCACGTAGGTCAGGCTTACACTGTTCTCTGTCCAAAGATACTGCCCATGTGTAATGAATCACTTTTTCCTAGACTGATTTCCCATTACCCCCTCAGCTCTGCTGAACATCTGCCTAAGAACTACCCCAAGGGCTGCACTAAGCAAGAAATTCATGCTTCCAGGGATTCACTAATGCAGAAACACTCAGTTGAAAGGAAAATATTTCACACAATGCTACAGTTATCCACGGAACTCATTGCCACAAGGTGCTAAAAAAGTCAGGAATTTTGTGAAATTAAAACAAAAAGTAATGTAACTCCATAGGTATTGAAAACACATAATTACATCTGATGGCATTTAAAGAATGAAAAAATGTAAAATTAGGAAGGCATATAAAATCGCTTGTTTCAGGGCGTAAATAGAGTACTCAGTTATCATCAAATTCCCAAAGAATAGATTCATAACTCTTCAACACAGTGCTGAATTTTCCCTTAAAGGATGTACCAGTGAAAAGGATGTAGCAGTGAAATGGATTGCTGCCACTTTTCCACAGTAATTGCAACATTATCAGTTTCTTTCACTTGCCTTTATATCTCTGACTTTCTGGGTACAAAATCCAACAGGCTCAAGTGTACAGGATTTGCTGACTTTCCCTGAAGGCTCAAGGGCACGTATTAATTTCCATTCATTCCATTCTATTCCATTGCTAATGTAGGTATAGCATACTATGAGCTGAGTCACATGTCTGCACGTAAAGATCTAATAGGGAACTGGTTACTAAAGCCAATGGATATTTTAACTGAGTAAAACCTCTAGTAACTGATGAAGGTGTTCAAGAATTGTAACATGTATTTCAGTTCATATAGACTGTATAACAGCATAATGTGATGGCTGAGCATTATGCAATGCATATCAAATAGGTACAAGAGTAAAAAAGAGTCAAGGTAACTCAAAACTGTAAATGAAATGAACTTCCACATTTCTGCTTCCAACAACACTGTATTATGTTCCCCTAAATCTACTATGAAGTACTTAACAACCATATGATTTGCACTCAGTACCATTGATGGTGTTCTCTATATTAATCACTTTATCACTGAAAAGTACTCACTGTCATTATTGCACTGCTAATAGTGCAACAGTTAGTGCTTTAGTCAGTAGATTATCCATTATAAATGCTGACATTTGGCCGAGACACTATTCCAAACATCTGTCATACAGCAATATACAACAGGGATTTGTAATGACAGAGGCTGAGGATGAAGGTTGGAAATCTCACTTGAAAAGCCTAGAAATGTTATTCAGGCTGAAGAAAATATAAAGCAACTTGAATTCCTTACCTAGGAGTTTAGAGAATGGTGTACTGATTCTCTTCTGTAAGAAGTCTATTTGCTAGTCTTGGGTCATATGCTGCAGTAAAGTTTTCTCACACTGACACTGTGAAAGTTATCTATAGAGGATGTGAACATCATGGATTGACTATTTCTTTTTGATCTAGGCTTTAGAACATGTGAAACCAATAGATGAGTGCAGAACTGGCAAAGCACCAGAAAACCGGCATAAAAACAGATACCAAGACATTCTTCCATGTAAGTATGCACAGTAACAAAAACATACACTGGGTGAACAAAGACATCAGAAAACAGAAAAACAGTTATAACAGAGACGTAGGAGGTGCAAATCTCACCATATCCTTAGTCACAGAGAGCTTTGCTAATAATGGAATTATTCATTATGATTAATGAGATTTTTCCAAAAGAGATAGAGTTCACATAAGCATGTCTGCATTGTACAATATGTAATTATTCAAAGTATCATCTTCCACAAGGCAGGACTTGGTCTGGTAGGGGACTAGTTGTCTTGGTGTTTCCTTCCCTTGTTCTCAGAATTACTGATCTACATTTCTGTGGACATTGAATTATACCATTTCTTTAAACCTATTTAAATGTACAGCTACATCTACTGCTTGTGACACAGTGGAATTCTGAAAAGTACAGTGGAAATCACGAAGTTATGTAACTCTTCAAAAGATAAAGATTCTTCCAAAAGTATTTGAAAATATATTATCCAACCAGACCCTTCAGCTGCTCAGCTCTGATCAGAGTCAGAAACAAATTTCATCGCTGACGAGAAGTCATTTTAGAAAGATTTGGGTCCAAGCACTGAATGACTGCTATTAGCAAGGATCCAAGAAAAAATAATGTACTGCCCAATAATTCCCTGAGAGGTATCATGACAGAAAGAAAACACTTTCTGAACACTTGATGTCTTTGTAAACTGCAGCAGCAGGACAACACATGTAAAAATTTGCAGCATCTCTATTTATCAGTAAATGCAGTATATTCTTAAAAGTTTTCCTGATTTAGAACACCAAAATCCAGTGTCAATATTCCTATGCAATATATTAAAAGCAGCACTGGACACACTATGTTGAATCACTGCCAAACAATTCCACGGTAATTAGAAGTCTTGTCAGAGTATTACACAAGGATCTTAAGAGAAATAAAGCTGTAGTGAACAATACAATTTATCTGTGGAAATTCCTATAAGCAGTGATTAATATCAGTGCTACTAGTCAAATTCTATTCTAGAATCCAGAGCCATACTTTGATGGAGAGACTGAGGTTCCCTATCTCATGAGTGCTGGAGATAGTAGAACTCCAATTCGGATTCACAGCTCAAAAGGATCTTTCTGTTTCTGTACAGATGATAAGACACGAGTTCCTCTGGGAGAAAAGAATGGCTACATTAACGCAAGTTATATTAGAATGAAAGTTGGAGAAGAGGAACATTTTTATATCATAACCCAAGGGCCTCTGCCATCCACTATGGCAGATTTCTGGCAAATGGTCTGGGAGAGTGAATCAAACGTGATTGCCATGATGACAAAAGAAGTGGAGTTAGGGGAAGTCAAATGTCATCGATACTGGCCTGAGCCTCCCAATGATTCTAAAGACCTGGCAAATTTCCATCTCAGGCTAGACAATTACCAGATTCTGGAATACTTTGTAATTAGAAAAATAGAAGTGATCAACAAGCAGGTAAGTTGAGTAGACTTAATACTTTTATATATGATGAAATTGATTATATATTTAAAATGAGTAGATACCAGTAGTACTGCTTGATTCTTCCATAACATGTGCTTGGATTTTTTAGGAATGTAAAAATCTGAATAACAGGCATGAATTTAGGGTTAATGAAATAATATTTCTTTGCTCATTCCACAAGCAATGGATTTGATATTACAGACTTTTAGACAAGAACTTTGAAAAATGGGTCCTCTAACAGTCACAGAGCTGGTGTGTTTAGTGTTTTGCAGAATTGCTTATGGTTCTCATCAAATCACATCTGTGCCAGAGTAGATTCATATCCTCTAATGGTGGCTGAATGGAAAGAGGGGAAGAAGGTGGTTTTTATCCTAGAATTTAGATCAAATGATACTTTTTTCATTCATCAAAAGACATGAATACATGTGAAACTATGAATCTAGCAGCAAATTCTTAGAAACTTAGCAAATACAGAATCCAGGTGTAAGAACAGGGAAATCAGGGCAACTATAAGTCTCTCAGTCTTGCCTCAATAGTAACTGTAAAATTTTCTACAGGACACATATTTAGTGGAATAACGAAAAGACTTGTACCTGTGCCAGACTAACTTGGTGTCTTTTCTATCAAGACAGTTTTTCTATTTGAGGAAAAGACAGTTCATCATATGCTATTAAGTGTGAAGCATAGTAAAGCATTTGATGAGAATCTTTCCAAAAGACTCTTAAGATGGGAAGATGGTATGTTATATGTGATTGTTTAAATGACAATTTTAAGTTTGTTATATTTGTACTGGACCAATATCAAACTACTACAGAAAGCTATGGGTTTGTTTCAGCAGAAATCCATATTTGCATTCCAATTCTTCTGACAGTAAAAATCCAGGTAGTTCTTTAGCACTAAGGAGCTGGCAACAAGAAGTATTGACCCAGGACCATTCAATTAATATCAGTCTTTATTTAACCTACATTTTATTTAGTATTGTAAGCAATTTTAAGTTAGTTTTCTTGTTGGGTATCTAATTAAAAGTTATTCTTTTATGTCTGATAGCCAGAATAGCATTTATGATCTTAATATCATGGCATTCATATTACTGCCCTTCTATTAGTAAGGCTTAATTCAGCTAAAATAACAGTTTTAGCAAACAGTACTGTAATGTTCCAATTTAACAAATGTTTTTGGTTTTTTTTTTCCTTTCTAAACAACAAATGAGATAACTACATCCTTTTGAGGCAACAGAATAACTTCAGTGTCACATCGAAATCATACAAAGTAAATTTCCTAGGTTTGTGTCTTCTGAGTGCACTACTGGAAACCTAAAGAAATCTTATTAGAGCCAAATATTAAAAGCTGAAGAATTTCAGGGTACACAAACAATTGACTAAGAATGAGGATAAAGGAAAATTTTTAGTAGAATTCCCTGAAAATTGGTTTTAGGACCGATAACTTTTAACCTTTTTGGTCTCTCTCTTCCAGACAGAAGAGAAGCGCTTTATAAGTCATTTGCAATTCACCACTTGGCCAGACCACAATATTCCCAAACTGGCCGAGCAGCTTGTAAAATTTATTTGTCACATGAGAAAAGCTCACAGTACAGGACCTATTGTTGCTCACTGCAGCACTGGCATTGGAAGAAGTGGAGTTTTGTTGTGTACTGAAATTCTGCTCAGCTATATAGAAAAAGATTTATGTGTAAGTATCAAACAGATCATTGTTAAGTATTGCAAACTGGTATGGATGTCAATAGCATGGTGGGGGCATCTTAGAACAGAGTAATTCCTCTTAGAATTCACCCTAACAAAACAGGTGAATAAACCCAGCTTTTGTTTCGAACAACAAAGTTAATAAGTTAATATACTATCTCTAAAAGAAGTGTCACAGCTTCCCCACCTGAATATGCTTAAATCTTTCTTTATAATTTGCATGTCAACCAAATAAAAATTGTCCTCTTCCTATAGTTCAACATCAAGCAGATAGTGAGGGATTTGAGAGATCAGCGTTTTGGCATGATCCAAACTAAGGTAAGTTCTCAATATTCAACTAGACTATGATTTTTAAAAGCCTCAATTAGTGGTACATATCCACATACTTTGATAAATCTGGGGCTTAAAATATAATTTTAGTGCTCTCATTTGTGGAAAATAACAGCCTTCCAGGCAAGTGGTGTCTAGTTTAAAATATGGAAGTCTGTCCCTCACTAAATAATTGAAATAAAAGCCAAGCAGTAGTATAGTACAGATAAAACATACACCTCTTTCTGTTTCTAAAGCAAGAAGAAAAGCAAGGCTCACAAAAACAGTGAGATACTATAAACTCTACCCTGCAAAATTGCAGCCTTCAGCTGAATTCTTGCTATTGCTGAGTTATCATCACCAAGTAAACCCTTCTACTGCTGAGTTAAAACAACTCTCAAAAAGACTTTTCCCACAGCAAAAGACAAGATGCAGCTAAGTCAATTCAGAGAAAACAGGTGGTGGGAATAAAAGCAAGAGAAGACTAGGATAAGTTCTTCCTTCCATTTTAGCACATGCTTTGATACATTTTTCTTCAGTGTAATGATTGAGCATGTGACTAAAATTAAGTAGACAGATAACCTTCACTGACCTACATGAGAGTTGAACACATGCTTAAAATACAGCATTCCTGAACTTCTGCAAGTGATGGAAAAAAAGAACAAGGACTCTCTGTAATATGTAAGGTTTTGTATCCATATTACAAAGATGATGATGTTATAAACAGCGATTCAACTAGTCTGTCCTTCTTTGTCTAGAATTTATGTTGAATGTTACCAGGTGTTTCACACTGGTGTCTCTTCATACAGGATGAGTATTTATTCTGTTATGAAGTTGTGCTGGAAGTCCTTCAGATCCTCCGAACAATGGATTCCCACTGACTACAATATGACTCTTCCCTGTTGCTTTCCCCTTGGACTCCAGGGACCACTCAACAGTTACTTTAAAGAGATGTTAAGCCAGGACAGATGAGTGTTATTATGTGTTTTTTTAGATTACTCTGATTTCTAAGGCATTTCAAAACCTTGCTTAAGGGTAAGTCATTTAAATCTTGGCTCAAAGTTTGGAGAAGCAGCCAGCCAGCACTGCAACACTGCTGCTTTAAATTGCCATGGACAATTTTTACATTCTGTGTAATAATATATTAATTGTTATGAAAATATTTTGGGACTGTGTCAAGGATATTAGCTTTACTTTCCAGACGGCAACTATAAAGATCTAAGGTTTTGCTGGTGTTTGTGGAAGATTAGTTGTTCCTCATCTATTGTTATGCACTACTGGCTTCTGGACTGCAAAGCAGTATTTATTAGAGTAGTTATGCTTTTGTGTGGAAGGACTCAATTTGATTACCTTTGGTTGCTTGAACAATGTAGAACCATTTCCAGTCATCACTCCAGCCTAGGGTTTTATACCACCTTCAATAGTCATCTTAAATCAAGAAACTAACAGTAAAAATAGAATGCCTTTAAACTCTCATTGGTTCTCTTCAAAGGAAGAACCCAGCAATATGCACAGATGTAGATGAACAGTATTCTTTCATTCTACATCTGTATAAAAAGGAATGCAACACTAAGCCAGGTGAAATGACTGTATGTGCGTTGTGGCACATGCATACATTTCATCTTCCCCTGATCCTTTCCACTGATTAACTATCTTGTAATTCTTACCTAGGATTTGAACTGATCTATGGGAAGTCCCACTGATTTCAGTAGGGGCTGAATCAAATCTTTAAATTAGAGTAAAGAACTCTCTGTACAGTTTATTTCTCTTGTAAAAAGTATTTCTGTTCATGTGAATGGATTTGAGCACAAATATGCTGTTAAAGTTGTAAGATTGCACTTGTTTCTATAGTACTACTTCTAAGTCCTTTATCTAGAAGGTGATGTATATGGAAGTGATTACATGTCCATTGGAAGAATAACTTTTAAACACAGGAAACTGTAGCAATCCGACTGAATTGTACATATTTTTAAAAATTCTTTGATTTCAGGAAAAGAAAAAAATATTAAGAGGCATTGGATATAAAACTGAAGTAGAAGTAAGACAATAAAATGCCTGTCTATTTTCATTATGAATAAGAGGCTTATTTTTCAGAAAGAACAGGAGATTAAATGCTAATTAAAAGTATGACTTTTAGAAAAATCCACTGTAATATAACCATAATTGAGGCCAAGGCCAATTTTTTCTTTCTGGACTCCAATGGTCTGCTAGAAGGCAGCAAAAGACAGAAATGCAGTTTATTATTTGAGCCAGATGTTAATTTCAAACATATTGATAAAGTTTCAGAATAATGCTAAATAAATCCAGGAGTAACCCTGGATTTATAGTGGTATAAACATAAGCAGAATTCAATGTTTTGTCTTAAATTCATTGGATTTGTTCCTTTCTTTCAGCATTACTTTCCATACATTCTGCATTTACTATTTCATGTTGCATTTAAGGGACTGTTCGCACAATTTTTTCAAATGTCATCAGCCAAATTTTTTTCATACCTTTGTTACTTTCATTTGGTATTTGGCCTTTCACTTTGACTTTAATTACTGCACAAGTACTAGGCAATGAATGCACTACACTGCGCATGAATGCACAATTGACTTTTTGTACCACAACAATTTCAATAAGCATCTCTGAAAATATTCCTGTACTTGATGCAAAGGTGTTTTTTTCTGTAGTTTAGAACAAGCATTCTGGATTTAGAAGACAATCCTCACAGCATTATTTGTTTCTCCACATTTGTGCATCATCTTTGCAGCTGTTTGACAGATGTGTTTGCTGTTTGACATAAGTTTTTCCTGTTTTACAGGGATATTAAAAAGATTTCTGAAAATAATTTGTTTAATTTCAATTTTGTTTTATGAAAGAGCAGCTGCAATACTTAACTACTAACTAATAAGAGCTCTAGGGAAAAATATTTTATTAATTGAAGCTTATATTTAAAATTCCTCTAAAGGCAGATTTTGTGATGATGGTACCTTTTGTAAATTGCTCTGAAGCCCTTATTACTGACCTCTAAACATTTTGCCATATGTCATGATCTTATTCTTTGGGAACATGATAATTAAATACCTTTATACAGATAAAGATACTATGGTTATGATCCCCATAATGACATACTCCCTCAAACTGGACTTGAGTTTGGATGAGACATACACTTTTATACAGGTCTGGTCCTCTAAGGCTGCTGCAGAGTAAGATAAAACAGAATTGTCCTTCCAGATATTCTGTAATCTGTTTCATAACAAAGAAACTCTCACTCACAGAAAATCTCCTAGGCTCTGAGACCAACTTTAGGCAGAGCCAAATGGACACAATTTACCATATGCTGGGTGACAAGCCCTACATCTGTCACAGTTCTGGGGCAATCCTACAGAGCAAGTCTCTCAATCCACGGTTTGAAAATATTTTAAGAAAACTGAAGACTTGCAAGGGTTCTGTACATGTTTGAAGCTAAAGGTGGTCACCTCAGTCCAGGTCTGCTCCTGATCTCCATGCTGACAGTCAGCCTAGACAGCACATAATTTGAGGAATGGAAGGACTGAAATGATAGACACAGCTTATCCTACAATAGACACCATGTTTGGAGAAATAAACAATGAGTCATCACGAGAAAGTGCTTGGCAGATGTGACTGCTATATATGGTCTCTTGGAGATGGTAAGGAATCATATGTTGTCAGCTCCCTCTTTAAAGGCAGGATTCAGGGATTCAGCTTCGAGCTTTGCTGCAGACTTCCTGAAGAGGCCAAACCACTTAAGCAGGATTATCTGGACCTAAGAGTTTTCTTCTTTTACACTGTACTACTGGGGTACACTCACATCCTTTGTAGATAGGACTACTGAGCTCAAAGTGTAGATAAACTGAGAACAGTTAAAGACTTAACCATTTAAGTATAGGGGATTCTGGCTACATCCAGCAGCTGATAAGCATTTCCCCCCATACACAGCAGAAATCAGAGTTCCACTCCTTCATTCTTCATTCACATAGAACTCCTGTGGAGATCAAGGCTCACTGATATGCATTCATTTGGAACAAAAGGTAATCCACTCTTTAAAGAGCTCAAACGACTTGAGAAATCAGGATAAACTGGAAAGAAAGGAAAACCTACTGTCCTATTTCAATCATAGGGAAGTGAAGCAATGGTTGGTGATTTGGTGAAGGTCTACAGAGCTTTGAAAAACTTAGGAACTAAACCTAGTTGATGAAAGCTCTGATTCTTTGTCTACACATAAAACTATCTTTCCTCAGTCAGAAAATAGGATCATACTGCTCTGGCCAATTTCTGATGAGATATTATTTAGCATATAAAGTGCTCTGACTGGAATTTGCACACATCCTAATATACAAGAGATGAGGATTTTTTACTGAACAGGTCCTTCTGTGATGGAAAAAATACGTGCAAACACGGCTCGTACTGCCAAAGAGCAGCAATCACTGCCATCTAGGGGCAAATCGTGACTGTCACTGTGACAGCATTAATCGCAATTAGTCGCCCGTGCCCTTTGCACAGAACCATTCCATGAACTTTCACTGAAGTTCACTCAAAAGTGTTACCAAGACAGGCTTGGCAGGACGCAGTGCTCTTGCTCCAGCCTGGCAAATTCCTGCCTGGCCACGCAGGTGCTGCATGCTTTTGACAACTATACACCCATACTGCTCCTGGTCCTACAGAGCCTAAAATAATGATAATGAAGTGCTCAGACAGCCTCAGGAAAAGATCTGTCTAAATCTGATAAGAGGCTAATTTATGAATAACCTTGCTCTTGACCTTAAAGCAGGAGTGCTTTTGGAATGAAGCACTTTCTTATTGAAAATTGTGAGTAATGGGAAATCCTCCCAGAGTTTTACAAAAATTGGTTTTATAGAACACTGTGAGTGTCTGAATCTAATTCAGTTGGAGTTTATTTAGTGTGAGATAATCTCTGTAAACTGGTTTCTTTTTCCACTATATTGCAAATTCATCTGCAGAATGAGGGCTAGAGGTAACATCACACATCGTGGTGTGATAACCCTGATCATTGCATACTACGGAATGTGATCCCCATGAGGGTTAACCTGAGCAGGCCCAAGCCTGTGCTGTGCTGTGCTGTGAATATCTCTTAGCTTCAGAATAAACATAGCCAGTTAAGTGTAACAGAGGGCTTGTAGGCTGCTCTCACTTGCTACTCGAAATTAAGTCACCGTGAGTTCTTGCCTTTGCCTAAAAGTGCAGCAAGAAGTTATCATATGAACATTCTTTCTAGTGGACAGTAGTAATACTCAACAGAATTGTTTCATTCTGGGAAATAATACAATAGTTCAATGACCAAAACAGGGTGATTCTTCCACAGACAGTGTCTGCACGGTGTGCTGCACCCAGACCAGATGCCTGTTTGATGCTCCACAACTCGAAGAGCTCTCAGCATTTGAGGATTTAAGTTTATCTATACTATCGTCTCTTCGTTTACAGTGTTAGGGCTAATTAATAGCACTTTAAATGACACTTAGCATAATCTGAGTGCCTTATTTACTGAAATTACATTGGAACAGCAACTCCAGATGCAAAACACTCCAGTGAAGGACAACAGTATTTCTCAGAGCTGTTAAATCACAAAGCTGACTCAAAATGAAGATTGCCTACCTACTGCTTGCAAAGATGACCAAATATATTGTAATACTACAAAAAATAGATATCAGTTGAGATCTTTATACTGAAAAGAGAGGTCTCCCTTACAGGCTAAGCATATTGAGGGTTACAGTCCAATATCTGATGAATCTTTAAATGTCCAGCAACGTGTGTGATGGAAGGGCACAGCACTTATAAAGATATGTGTAACAGTAAAGTTTTATGATTTGCACATAATCTTGCACTGATGTAGCTCTGCAGGTTTAGAAACAAGCTTGTGAAACCATAAGAGTGTTCTCTAGTGCCATACAGAAATAAGTTTTTTTTTTTCCTTGTTTACTTACTTTGTGCATACCAGGAATAACAGAACCTCATACTTCATTCCTCCATCTCCAGACCCAATAGATGGAACAACCAAAAACTAATAAGAACCATGACAGAAAATAGTTGAGATTGGAAGGAACCTCTGGGAAGCATCTAGTCTAAACCCTTAAACTCACAGCAGTGTCACCTAGAGCTCAAGACTATGTTCAGGTGAGTTTTGGATACCTCAGGGTGGAGGCTAGGCAACCTGTTCTGATATTTGACCATCCTCCTGGATTTCAGTTTGCACCCATTGCAACTTATCCTGTCTCTGGACACCACTAAGAGGACTCTCTTTCCTCCTTCTTATTTACTTCCTCCCTTTTAGGAATTTGTATCTATTGATAAGTTCCCTCTGAGCATTCTCTTCTCTAAACTAAACAAGCACAATTGTCTCAACTTCTTATAGAACAGACATTCCAATTTCTTAATCATCACAGTGGCCTTAATATGCCAGTACTTGTTTAGGGAGAGGATAAGATTCCATTCAACAGCTGCATGTCTACTGAAATTAGGAGATATAGTTTTTTGGTGCCTACTTTACCTGTGAGAGCTTTTTGCTGTTTTAGTAGCACTTGAGGACTGATCAATATGAGAGTTTAAGTGAAGGCGCAGAGTATTGACCATCTCTTGGATGCCAGTCTGCAAGATCTGCCAGTGACCATCTCTACTTTTTTGGTTAGTCTTAACTCTTCAGTGTCCTCCCATATGAAGTAGGTGGCTGTTCAGAATTCATCACCTTTTCTGCACAGCAGCAGCTACACATGCACGCCTGAGGGACAGTGAACTTTTTGCAATCCTACTCTGAATTACAGTGTTATTTAGCTTGCTCATTGAACCATTCAAAACCAAAAAAACAAAAAGCAGCTAAAATGCCTGAGAGCAGTACACCCCCAACCAGGCGACAGACACAATAGGGACTATACAGTAGCTGTCCAGCACCCCAGCTCATTACACAACTGAGCAATTAACTGAAGTTGCCTGTGCTCCCTCCCCTCCCTGCATTTGTTCTCTTGAGGGATGACAATTCCTTCTCCTCCTTCCTGTTCAACCCTCTTTGAAAGGCATGCCAATGATTGTAGGCTTTCCTTTCCAATCACACTGCTGTAAAAAAGCTCCTA